ACACATATTATCGAAGAGTTTGTAGTATTAACGATATAATTAAATTTGCAGTAGTAATATTAATACCCACCAAGTGATCTCATATTTTGTACGCATATTATATCAGAGAGTTTTTATAGCATAAGCGATATTTCCATGTTTGCAATATATAATACCCCTAACCACTTGGCTTATCTGATACCAAGTTTACTATTATTATATTACTATTCTTAAAGGAGAGCAAAAACTATCCTCTTTTGTTCTGTTGGATCTTGGTATTATCAATGGATAAAACATATTATAGATGGATAAACATATTAATTCAAGGTTTTAAAAGTATCTATGCAATTATTTCAATACTAAAATAAATAAAAAGTATTAAAAAGAAATTAAGTTACACGTATATAAAAAGAAATTTAGTACTAGATTTATTAAGTAAGAGTATTTCCAACATTTTACACAGTTTTTAAAATTAATAAGTATTGAGCCTATCGACTATTTCATTAGAAATATGTGGGCTTATTCATCCAATAAAGCCTTTTAATAGATGCTTAACGAAACGATCATCACTCATCATCTATCTAATAGACAGACTAATCCAACAGCTAGAGAACCACATCAATGGTCCATCGCTAATCCGACGGTAGTGTAAACAACTTCCTGAAACAGCTATCCTCCACTCCGGTTAACAACTCTGGTCATTCTTGCGGGGACGACAATGCTCCAGAGTTTCCATTTGGGCTGTCATCCCAAATCTTCTTAATCTCGACTTCGTTCCTTCTATCGGTATAACGCAATCTCTTTCTCTAACATTTTCTGTCTCGCTTTAAGCTCTTGTCACTTTGAGCAAATCCTTGAAATGATTTCTCTCGAATCACTAGTTAGGTTAACCTCGGATGGTCATGTGATTGATGAACTTAGCAGCTTGAATGATAGGATGCATAGTTATTTTCTGTTAAATCAGTTTTGCCGTTTGTGAACAGTCTCTTGTCTCGCTTGAAGCTCTTGTCTCTTTAAGCACAACCTTGGATGATAACTAGTTAGGTTAACCTCGTATGGCCATGTGTTTGATGAACTTGACATCTTGGATGATAGGATGCATTGTTATTTTCTGTTAGATCAGTTTGCCGTTTGTGAACAACTATTTTCTCTAACATTTACTGTTTCGCTTGAAGCTCTTGTCTCTTTAAGTACAACCTTGGATGATAACTAGTTAGGTTAACCTCGGATATATGACCATGTGTTTGATGAACTTGACAGCTTGAATGATAGGATGCATTCACCAATGTTTTATCTGAACTCCAATTATCGATTTAATTCGTTCCATTCCTCGTGACTTAGTTACCTTGTTGATCCATTGTTATTTTCTGTTAGATCAATCTTGGATGAGATCACCTATTGTTGAGGACAACGTACAGGAGGAGGAGAGGGAATTAATCACAGGTACCTAATTGAGTTTATTAATTTCTTCATCCATATATTTTGCACTTCTGAATCTGACTCAATCTCTGCTTTGACTGTAGCTGAGTTTAACAACAATGCTGATAATAATTCTGGTATTTTCCCAGGTACCTTTTGAGTTTCATCATTTTTAACCTTAAATTTATTTTCTCGGTCTGACCAAAGGCTTGTTCTTCTAGTAATTTCACAGAGCTACATACGAGACAGTGAAACCTTTGCAAGCTCAGAGATACATTTGTAGGATCAAAGCCAGATAGTTGTTACCATGTTATCAAAGCTCCACTGAGGAGGAAGAAGATGTCTCCTCCTCCTCTTCAGATGAATCTGTTTCGGATGTTGATGAATCTGTTTCGGATGTTTTTGGATGTTGATGAATTTACTACGGAAGTGGACAACAAAGAGGAAATCGATGAGTCCAGAAGAATGGTCAAATTCCCCAGCAGGTTTGCAGCACTCCGTACACTTCCAAAGCTTTCTGTCAGCTCTTGAAAAAGAACGTAATGGAGTATGTTGAAGAGAATCAAGCAAAGAAGTGTTTCGAACATCCAGAAAGGTTCAAGTTTGTTCTTGAAACCAACCCCCTATCAGATTCATTTTGCCTGTCTGATTTCATGGGGTATCTCTTTCCGTTCTGGTCAACCGAGGGTCCAACACTTAAGTATATATTAGAAGAAGCAAATAGAAGAAGACTTAAGATTGTGGTTGGTCATATACGAGACCAGAGGGGTCATCACCTATGCTGGGCGTACATCATATGCGGCCTTATTAATGCAACCAAACTGTTAAATGGTTTAGACAAGGAGTTTGTGTCTCTTTCTCTCATGTTTCCATGCAGGAACGCATGTCTACATGATTATGAAGACAATTACCAACATCCATTATTTTCTAAACTTCTGTGTCTTCACTGCTGTTGCGGTAGTAGTTTGGCTGTAGGTTTGATGTATGCCAAATTACACGGAGTTCGGAGATAATAGCTTGGAGAAGAAGAATTTAATTGTTGTGTGAAAGAGGAATTTAGTGGCAAAGATGATGAATTGTATAAAATCAAGGAAGTATTCAGGTATGATACGCTGGAGTCGGCTTTGGAAATGGTTAAAGCTGGATATCCACTTGTTGTGAGACTAAAACTGTTCCAGGGTTGGAATACGCTGCAAAACTGTGATAATGGCGAAGTTTACATTTATAATGGACCTGAATTGGGGAACAATTACTACTATGAGCATTCTGTCATCATCATTGACTATCAAGTAATCCATGGAGTGAAAGTCGCGATTTGCAAGAGTAGCAACGGGAACAACTTGCTAACCGTGGATATATTGCAGTCTGGAAATCATGATAACAACAGTGGGTGCAACAAAAAAGACTAATAAGAGAAATTGGTTTCACAACAAGCTGCAATATTTGCTAAATGATTTTTTTTTTATAGGCGTCGAGATGGGTCACGAGCCACTAATAGAAGTTGAGCCAGATCACGCAGAGAAGAATATGATAATCGCCTGATAATTGCCTGATAATTGTTTATTTAAATTCGTAATAGTCGCCTGATAATTTCAGCAAACAAAGGCATAATAATGCTCATGAAACACTTTTTCTTTCATGTGAACTATGTGAACTAAAATGTTGTAGAAAAATATGAATTACCAAGAACTATTCGACAAAATAGAGAAACAAAGTCAAGCGAAAATAAAGGACTCAAATATTATAGTTCATTTAATTGCTTAGAAACTTAATTAAGTGGTATCATAAAATCTAAGTGTTAGAAGTTTTTTCTTAGAAAATTAATGCTCTAACAAGAGATCAGTGAGTCATTTTCAATTGTGCATAATTTGTTCACTACATAAAAATAACATTCTCCATCCCACCATGTTCTACATTTAATAAAAAAAAATTCCAACTTATTTTGTAACTATTTTTACTAAGCGACTCATTTTTCATGTCTGATTGGGGCAAATGAAGACATAATAATGCCTCTAAGCGACTCATTTTTCATGTTTGATTTATAGAGATCTTCTGGTCAATGAATGATTTAAAAGTTGAGTATTTAACAGAGAATGAAAACAGAAAAAAGATTGAAAAATGTTGTTGGTCTTATTTGGTATCAAGAAGATCATATCTGATAGATAACATATTAACACTCTTTAAGGTTTGGAATAGACATTGGAAATGTGATGATGATGGTAAAATATATATTTATAATGACCCATAATCAGACAATATATATTGTTTTGAGTATTCACTGATCATTATTGATTTACAGTACGTTATGGAGTAAAGTGACAATTTGTTGTTTATCGTGGATACTTTGTTGTCAATCTGAAAATATTGATGAAAAATTAAAAACATTGTATATGGTATTATTTGAAGGATTGGTGTTCCATAGTCTTATTTGTACCCTCACTTTTATTGTATTTTCCTCATAAATCTCATATAGTTGAATGTGGACGCTACACATAATAGGTAGACATACCTCTGATGTGAGAGCATGTTGTGGATTTATATACAGCTTTCCATCTACTAAACGTTTAATCATCCACATGAGATATATGTCATGAAAAAAAAAAAGGGTAAAAAAACCTTTTATAAAAGAAAAAAATAAGAGAGGAAAATAATATGTAAAAGTGTTTACTTTAAAATCAAGAAATGTTTATGTGACATATCACTGTTTGAAAAGTATTCAATTATTTCAAAACTAAATTCCAAACAAATATTTATACATGAAATAAAAGGAATAATGAAATGATGTGGAGGGATTCCTTCCCGTCAAATTAAAAGGAATTATCGTCGCTTGCAGGCTTCCTTTCCAAGCAAACTAAAGAACGTGACAAAGAAAATTCTTGGGAATAATAAGCGAAGAACAAATTAGGGTTTTAACTACCTCTTCTCTCTTCTTATCTTCTCTTGCTTCTTCAATATTATATCTGATACAAATTTACAGAGCCAAACATTCAGCTTAATACGCTTATATATAATATTTTTTTTTTCTATTTTTCTGCTGTGATTTTGTTGTTATGAGCAGCTCATAATTAAACCCGCTTTTGCCGAGAGAGAAAGAATTATATAAAATTTCTCCGGCTATAACCACTACAAATAATAAAGTAATCATTCTGAATTTTCGGAAGTTATCTTTCTAAAATTTCTATATCATTTATTTGATATGTAATAATAAGAAAAAACTTCCCGTCAAAAACTTATATAAACAAATCAAAATTTAATCTAACTTACATTTTATTTTGTGTATAGGAAAATTTAATCATACTCATGGAATACGTTCCAAAAAAGAACGGGCATCATCGATGTTATGTAACAAAATGGTTTTCTCGTTTACATAACAAGTTAACAACGAGGAATTATTTATACTATATGAAATCATATTTGCTAATTTGCTATATTTCAGTCTAATCGTGGGAAATGCGTGTTTCAGAATTTAATTCACAAAAGACAACCAAAATGGAATTACACTTCGTTCTCTTGAACGGGAATCAACGTGTAGAGTAGAGAAACATAGAGTATGTATGCATATTCAGATACATCAACGTGAGTCTAGATAAAATTTACGTTTTTTACTTTGAAGATAGTTCCTTTTCTTCCCCTTCAATACTCTTAGCCGTCTCTACTTGCTCATTTTCAGTTTTAATGTTCATGGCCGCGTCAATATCCGTGGTTTCCGAGTCTGCTTCCTTCAATTTCTCGTCTTTAGCTTCAACATCTGTCGAACTCTCTGCAATGCCACCACTTGGAGCTTCCTTAGCGTCTACTAATGTTGTATCTACATGATCATTATCTCCTGTTCTAACAATATTCCCATCGCGTGTAAGAGCTCTAGGTGTTCCTGTTTCTTTTCCCAGGTTCTGTACACATGTAAACTCATCATCATCATCAGAAGAAGAAGATTCAGAATCAGATCCGGAATCAGACTCAGGAACGATTTCTTGCTGCTCATCTCTCATTTTCTTGGATCCTTTACGCGAAAACACGTGCTTTATCTGTTTTGCGGATTTCTCAGCTTGTTTCATAAAGCTCTTTGCAACATCCTTCATGTGACCTTTACCTGAGTTCTCTTCTTGATCCAAACTCTCACAGTCTACACTCTTGCCTGAAAGAGGACCCGAGAGATCGTCATCGACGACGTATTTAACTCCAATATCCTTTTGGTTTATCGCCTTCACATTGATCCGAGGAGACCGAGCCTGCGACTCCTCTTCAATGCTTCCTATCAAAAAGTCTTCCTTTTTGCTGTTCCTATGAAACATTGACCCGATTTTCCTCATTCCTCTACCAACAGACTTCATTGGGTTCCTTGATCCCTCTTGATTTTCATCGGTGCTACTGCTTTCGTTGTTTGGTGATCCATCATTAGTAGGAACTCTTTGTACTTGGTTATCAAGACGTCTACTCTTGCCTTTTCTCGGTTCCCATATCTGTGAGACTTCAGGTCCTGGTCTTTGAACCCAGATTCCAGTCTCTTTTTGCCCTCCAATGCTGATTGGCTCAACGTTATCTGCAACACTTGGACATTTTTCAGAGTTCACCGACGTGAAAGAACCGTTGTTTGCAGTATCAGAAGCAAAAGAAGTTTGAATGTCTTCCTTGCTTAGCTTCTTCACCCCTTTGAAGGGATCCTCATCAGTGCCCTGTTTCAAGAAAGACAAGTATTTTATCAAACTAATCTTGAAAAACTTCTTGGTGTTGTTCAATGAAAAAGTTTGTACCTTTGCATTGTCCTCAATTACGGTTATAGCAAGATGCAGCCTTCCCATTTTGATGTTCTGAAGAGGCAACCACATATCGTTTCTTTGGCCGCCTCTCAACTCTCCGATATTCACTGAACATTCACTGCCAAAAAAAAAAAAAAAAACAAGAAACTATTATTTATTAATATTCACACTAGTTTGGAGTAACGAAACTGGGGTTCAGGAACAAACCCAAGGGTATCATCAACAAATCGATCTTTATCTTTAACTTCAATGCTAAGTATTCTTGGAGAGTCCCATGTAAAGATTGGTATCTTAAACTCTTCTTGCCATGTTGGGGACAATGATTTTCTCATTATCTTGGTTTTGAATCGGTAAGCACCAAGTTTCCCTTTCACATAAGGATCAGCCAAACCTGAAACCAAAACACACAAGTTTTTCAAACCGAAAGAATCTAACGGTTGTGGTATAATGTCCAAACTGACCATTTAGATCGGATGGTTTAACATCTGACGCTTCAATGACTTCAACTAAGACGTGTGCAGCTGGTTCTTTCTCATCAACAAAGAACCAATTTTCTGGAGGTCAACACAGAAAAAAAGTGCAACTTAATGAAAGCTTAAGAGATACTGATGATTGTAGACAAACTGATACAAGCGAGAATAACACAACAGAATAAAAGATGGAGCTAAGAGTTTAATCCTACAATCAATACCTGGCTTTGGGCTAACAAATTTCTCCATGTCAACAACCAGCATATTTGGCTGCAACCAAATTGCAGGGAAAACAAGAAAGAGTAACAAAAATTCTTTAGATTTGTTGCTTAACTGCAAGACGGATACTAAGAACAAGCAGAGAAAAGAAACCAAATTACAAGCCACGATTCTTACCTGAACAAGGGTCTGTTCAAATGCGATAGATAGAAGTTTGTCCTGATTAAGAAATTAAGGAAATGGGTTTACATTTTAGAGAGGTACAAGAAAAACAAAAAACAAAAAGAATGAAGAAGAATATTCAAAACTCTTGTTAAGACTATTAGGCTATGTAGTACTTACTAGCCACCCAGCGATGCCTGGAAGTACAGCAACATCAAGCCCGTGAGTGAAAATTGGTTTAACAGTCATCTGGAAATATGGAGGCTCTGCAAAACACACACGTAAACGCCCCAAGAAAGGCCATCGACGAAGGAACTTCACTCCGACCAACACCTTATAAGAGTGGAAGCAAGAATGTGTTTACAATAATGAAAAAAATATCATACTCAGATAAAGACAAAAGCTGGCACTACCTTCCCTTCCACCTGCATTCCCGTCAAATGCAACTTTGTCCACATCCCAAAACCAAGCCTTTTCCTTAATTTCACAGCAAGTATCGCACTCATATCATCTGCTGCTAGAAAATTCATTCCAAGTTCCAGTACCTGTATAATAAACTCCAGCATAAATTCTACTTCTGCAATAGATGATTAAATGGAAACAGGTCAAAGTATGATGTTCTATGAGGCATTGCCACTATACCAAGTGATCATCACCCGTAGATTGGCGAAGGACCCTAATATCAGTCAACAAAGGCGGTTTTTTCCCCATGTAAAGGTGCTGTATCACAGCCTTTTTCTGTACATAAATCATACAAGATGTCAGTAACAACAAGTGACATCGTACAAACTGCAATGTGACATCCAAATTACACCATTCGCAGAGCTGTTGAAGTACTAGAAGAAACACACAAAAAAGGCGAAATGGAACTAAGACCGATAAAATATATATATTTTGTTAGAAACGGATACCGCTGTCCAAGGTCGATACTTGTCCAAGAACCAAGGTATGATTGGACCAAGAATCTTTTCAGACGTAATCTGTTCCATGCATATAGGCCATATCTTCTCCACAGCATGATTTAACCACCGGACAGATTCAGAATCAGTTAGAACCTGAAAGATGCATAGCAAAGAACAAGGAAGGAAACAAAATTTCATGCAGGGTATGGAAAACTCGAGAAAACAAAAATCCAAATGAGAAGCTAATCACAGACAACAAATACACAGGCGAAGGTGAAAGAGTGAGTACTCTTAGCACTAAAAAGCCAGCATTTTCACAGCTTTACTAATTACTATAATGACTTAAAACCATAACAAGATCAATAGGAGGTTTAAACAACATCTTGTTTCGGGTCATCTCTAAGACCTCTCTATCTCGACCAAATAAAATCTAGGTATAACCACCATTTACATTGATAAAACGTATAAAAGATCAAATCTTTCCACCTATAAATAACAGTACAAAGATATAGATATTTGAAAATTACTCTTCTCTGATTAGCTTGCTTCCTCTCTTCGAACTGCAATTGCCTCTTCAATCTCATCACATAACGTTCGTGAACCTGGACGAAACCAAAGCAACATTTTTTAACACATTCCATCAAATCCAGACAAGTACCCCAAAACAAACATTAACATCAATCAAACAAAAAGGATACCAGGTAGAGATAAATCAGAGACAGGAAATAGAAAAAGCCGTGGGATCGATTCAGTGAAGAAAGAAACCAGAGGAGCAGCAACACAATCACAATATGATGGATTAGAAAAGACTCCATCGTGATCAAAACCCAGAAGAGAAAAGCCGGTAAAGATTGAATCTTTTTTCGCCCCGATGATCAAACACCCATCTCAGAAAAGAGCAATCATCGATTCGAACGTGGAAGTGTTTCTGTTTATAAAGATCGAAAAAAAAGAACCAAGGAGGAGACAACAGTTATTGTAGCGCGGAAGAAAACAAAAAAAAGCACAAATTTGTAAATCGACGATTTAGGGGATTTACTATGCGCTTGCCTCCTTTACTGGAAGTCTAAGGGGACACGAATCGTTGACTAAAATATTCACAAATGTTGAGATTTGCTTTTTATCTCTGCGAAAGTTCCGAGATAACACGACATGTTTCCGGTTAAATCCAATCGTCTAATGAATCGGAAAATTTATAGGGTTTGAAATCAAATTTGATCTCTTCTGTAATTTTGTCACCGTTTAGAAAAAAAAAAGAGGCCTTTTTCCGGTAACATAAACAATCACTTGAAATTGAAGGAGTAGTTAATATTATATAGTTTTTTAATGATTTAAAATTAATGTTAATATATACATATATATGTCATTCCAAACGTTCAATGCATTAGTACTCGGATTACAATAATTTTTGTGGACAAATAATTTTAAAAAATAAACTGAGCAATGGATATATATTCTCGTGGATATATGATATTTTTTCTTTTTAAAAAGTAATTATATTCACTATTCCAATTCCAACCAACGTATCACAACTTCACAAAGACAACTACATCTCAACCTCTTCACTATGCATCAGTTGAATGTTGTATCTCTCCTTGGCTTAAGCCCTTTGGTTGATAGGGAAAAACAAAAAGGATAAACAGACGCTAAAGAACAAGAAGAAAAAAAAAAGAAACAAAATATTTGCTAAAATCAAGTGTTACTAGATTTGATTTATCATTCAACATTAGGCATGAGTAAATAAATAGATGCTGAAAAAGAAGGATAGACAGACGCTAAAGAACAAGAAGAACAAAAATAAGAAAAAAGGAGTGAAGAAAAGAAGAACACGCACAAGTTCCTTTAACACAAGAAACAAGAACAAGTACAAGTGATGAAAGATACTGAACGAGTGAAAGATCAGACCAAAAACCGAAGAATCGTCGCCGAACCGCAAACGAAAATATTTGAAAATGTCTTTTTCATTTTCAAGGACATTTTCAAATATTTTTATTTGAAAATGTCCTTGATCGGTTTATTGCTCCAAACCAAATCAAAATCGAAAACCGAAAAATATCGGTTTGATCAGTTTTCTAGAAACTTATCATTGTGAACTCGATTATTTTGATACAAACCTACAAAGAAGTCCATGACACGTTGAGATAAAACAAAAGATTGACCGTTGCCTTTAGAAGCGGTGTCGTCGACCACATAATGAACTTGTCGGCAACACACCGTTTGTCTAAGTTAACTTTACTTTTTATTAATTGGGCCCATGAATAAGGCCCAATATTAAAGGATTATGCATAATTACTCGAATTATCTCTCCACTCTCTCTCCTCGAAAGCTCTTCGTCTCCAGTCCAATCCAATCATTCATGAATCTCGAATAACTTTGCAGTTTTTGACGATCAGATCAAATCCATTATTGTTACCCCAAATCGTACAGTACGTGTCCATTTCGGGTCCCACAATGTTTGTCTCAAAACGCTGACATCGACACTTTCGTGGGGATTACAAACATAAAGGAAAGCTTTTTTAATCAGCAATGGTGATGACACATTGTACACGCTTCCAACATCTTCTTCAACCCAAATTACTCTTTTCTCATTCTCGTGTTTTCCGTCATCCTCATATCAGAGCTCGCACGCCCCTCAGATCGATTATGGGTTCGTCTTCGTCTTTCTCCTCGAAGCTTCTCTTTCGTCAGCTCTTCGAGAAAGAGTCCTCGACTTACACTTATCTTCTCGCCGACGTTTCACATCCTGATAAACCCGCTCTTGTAAGTTTGGTTTTTGCTTTCAAAGATGGAATTTTGCGACATGGGTTTTGTGTTTTGAATGTGATCAGATCGTTTTGTCGGCAACTTGTAATCATTTCGTTTCGTTTTGGTTGATTGGTTATCTAAGATTAGACAATCAGCTGATTTGATCGTCTGGTTGAACAAATTAGCAATTGATTTGCTTGGATATTTTTCTAAATTTGGATTCATTTTGCATGTGATTCAAGAAGATGATGAGATTGAACTGGTTATGAAAAAGATGATCAATTCTTTGCTGAAATAATCGATTTTTGCTTAAATTGATCGCCTTTTTTTAAATCTGATTATTTTAATCGTTGTTGTCTTATATGATTGAGCAGTTAATTGATCCGGTGGACAAGACTGTTGATAGAGACCTGAAACTAGTTAATGAGCTAGGCTTAAAGCTTATCTATGCTATGAACACTCATGTTCATGCTGATCATGTCACTGGAACTGGACTTCTTAAGGTCTGTTTCTGTTGGTTGATATAATTGTTTACTTTTCCACTGTTTTGGCCTAAATCAAATACTCAGTGATCTCTCTTTGTTTTGCTCCACACAGAAAAAGGTTCCTGGTGTGAAATCCGTCATTTCGAAAGCTAGTGGTTCCAAAGCAGATATGTTTCTTGAACCTGGTGACAAAGTAACTATCGGCGATCTGTACCTTGAGGTATAATAACGAGATTTCAAACCGGTACAATAATTAAGAAACAAAGAAACTCTAAGAGATTTCATTTGTCTCAGGTTCGTGCTACACCAGGACATACCGCAGGATGTGTTACATATGTGACTGGAGAAGAAGCAGATCAGCCCCAACCAAGAATGGCTTTTACAGGAGATGCTGTACTGATCCGCGGTTGTGGGAGGACCGACTTTCAGGTACACAAAACAGAGGAAAAATTGGTTATAAAGAACCAAAAACCGCAATGTGGATGCATAAGATCTAAGTTTTGTATTGAGACGTCGGTTTAACTTTACCAATGGTGTTTTCCTCGGTGTTGCAGGGTGGAAGCTCGGATCAACTCTACGAGTCTGTACATTCACAGGCAAGTTTTACACACTATCTTGTCACACCATAGGCAAATTGATTTTGAAAGATTTTATTTGAAACGCTTTTGTTTTTATCTTTAACCAGATATTTACATTGCCAAAGGACACACTGATCTATCCAGCTCATGACTACAAAGGTTATGAGGTAATGCAAAATGCATAATTCATTCACATTGGCTTTCTATAATGAAATTGTGATCCATTGTGTGATTCATCTACACAATACCTCACACTATTTTTCTGTTAATTTTCAGGTAAGTACAGTTGGAGAAGAGATGCAACACAACCCACGTTTAACTAAAGATAAAGAAACATTCAAAACCATCATGTCAAGTAAGTTTCTCTCTGCTTAGTACATGCTCAAGTATTCTATAGATTTCCTCAGTCTCACAGTAACCGTTGTCTTTGCCCTTACAGATCTGAATCTGGCGTATCCGAAAATGATTGATGTTGCAGTACCAGCAAACATGGTATGTGGATTACAAGAGTAGCCTTCTCAAGCCCACTAAAACTTTCTACACAACTCTCTTTACACTCCATTCTATGTTTTAACAGAAGCCAATAAAACTATTCAGAGGTTGTTTGTCCAATAAGATCTGCATTAGATAAGATCATTAGAAGAATGTGTAAGTTAGATTGAACATATGGAATTTGTAATGAAGATGAAAACATATTTGCGTGTTCATCTTTTGTTTGGTTTGCTGATTTGATGTGTCGACTACATCAATAATTCAATCAACACAAATTAGCTTTTTGAACAATAACCACTCGTCCATGTGTTTGCTACCACGTGTCATAAACTACTGAAACCTTAAATCCAATCAAACAACTGAGATAGAGAGAGAGAGAGAGAGAGAGAGAGAGAGAGAGGATTAAGAATTTGAGACAGAGAGAGAGAGAGTGAGAATGAGCAAAGAAAAAGACAAAAACAGAGCAGCTTCACCTTCGTCTTACGGCACGTTTCAAGGTATTCCTACTTATCCACCACCGTCGCATCACCGTCCTCCGTCGCATCATCGTCCTCCGTCGCATCATCCGGTCACCGGATTTCCTCAGCCGTCTCGGCCTCACGGAGCAACTCATCACGACATTTCCGTTCATCAATACATTCACGAACATCAAACCGTTACTGGTAAGTAACAACGTTGAATCTCAGAATCTCGAGAACGGGACGAAAGCTGAAACCTTGCTTCGTCTTTTGACGACTCTTTTGATATGATTCTCTGGTTTCTTCATGGTTAGTTTAAAAGGTTTCGAATTTTAAAGTTTCTAAAGCTGAGACTTAGTCTATGCCTGAGATTCACTTAGCTGAGTACTAAAACCAAGATGCTAGATTTATTTAGCTGACTTATATGCGTATAATCAGATCTCTTCTCTACTTATTGATTCAATAATGGTGAGTTAAGGGATCTGGTCCGCAATACCTAGATCCAGATTCAGCTTCCCATCTGCGAATGATGATAATCTTATACGCAAGAACCTGAAGCTCTCTCTGTTTTTAGTTCACAAAGCTTTAAATGCAACATTGCAACTAAATGGCAGGATATGCTGTTGGTGAAGGAAGACATGTAAGAGAAGACCGTCTTCCTTGCTGTGGTCTTGGACTCGGTTGGTTCTTGTAAGTTTTTTTTTTTTTTCTTAGCATCTCAAATTTTCTTGAATTACTTTCATTTGGTTTTATCTGAAAAACTTGGCCTTGTTTTTGTTGCTCGAAGGTTCTTAACCGGTTTCCTCTGCGCAATCCCATGGTACGTAGGCGTATTCAATATAGTATGTGCTAAGATAAATCCACGAGAGAAACCAGGATACGTAGCTTGCACCGTCGCAGTGAGTGTTTCACTAAACGATCATCGCATTATGTATTGTGCAGATCAGATTAATCTTATGATCTAACCGGTGTTATGAGCTTCACTTTTCATAGGCTGCTCTTGCTACAATTGGAATAATTTTAAGTCTCATGGAAGGAAGCGGATGGTCATGAAGTGTTCTCGACAAGTAAATGAAATCATTGTTCATCAAAGGTACCTTGAAACTGTGTTATTCTTTTGGTATTGATAATACCTAAATCCGTGTGTTCGTGGTTGTCTGAAAATGGAACTGCGTTTGCAATAAAATCAAAAGCTTATTTTGGCTTATACAGAAATTGAATGTTTCATCAAGGAACATTCTCATACTAATGGTTATGCAGGGGATTGAATAAAGTCAAGACTTTTCTTTCACATTCTCACACAAACACTTTTCCCCAATTCAGATCACTGAAGTAAATTCTCAACTACATAGTAACCCATTTAAGATCCATCAATCATGTTCCTTGAACAAGCGAACAAGCCATGCTTTCCAAGAAAGCAACATTTGTTGTTTTGTAAAGAAAGATAAAACGCAAACAAAACAGGAAACGAAAACCAGAACACTGCAACTCTGGTTTATAGAGAAGTCAGGCAGCCAAGGAGGAAGCTCAATACTACATACAAGGCATCAAAACCTGAATCGTTCATCTGAAAACCGCTCTTGATAAAACCGGTGATACTTCTTCAATATTCAGATTAAACTACATCTATTCGATTCTTCTTGCAGTTTTTGACTAGCTTATGATTCTTAAAAGATTTCTTAAACTAAATTCACAGCATTAGTTGAAAAGAACAAATATTGTTTGGACTGCATTTCATGATTCTACTAATGATTCGAGAATATCACGAAACAATAACGGTACATTCACCAAATTTCAAACAAGCTGAGTTCTAATTAAATCCGAATATACTAAAGTTTTGTTTCATATGATCAACCCTTTTCGGTCTTTCTTTCATAGTCGTGCTTCACAAAGCCTTAAACATCAACAACAACCAGAAAGAGAGGAAAACACAAATAAAGATTATGAAACACTGTTATATTTTTCTCGATCAAACGCTACAAGAAGAACTCAAGCCATCGAAAGTTTCAAACTTTGACCGTCTCTATATTATTCCTTGTTCTTAGAACAAAATCCAAAATAGACAAAAAAGAAGAGAATTTTAGGGCAGACTCTCTGATTTTCGACACGACAAAAACAAAACATGTAAAAAATCATAGAGAAAGAGAGACTGCTCCATAACATATTAATTAAATCTAGGCCGGGTGAAATTGTGAACTCGCGTCTAATTAAAAAGCAAGAACCCATTTGGATCGGCCGAATAACAAAATCATAACAAACTATCAAGGAAGTGTTCGATCTTTTCTTCCAATTTGCAGTAATAAAGATTAAAACTTGCAAGAGGAAATTAAGAAAAGATCGTTGGGTTTCGATTTACGCCCGCAACGGAACAAGGGCAGCATTGACCTAGCTGCTCTGATCTCTCAAAGGCACTTCGAATAATCTCAATGTGCGGCGATGTTTACTTATAGGCGCGAGAAGAAGACCTTTCAGTGTTGAATTACCATGTTACCCATGCTCGCTATTTAACCTATTTGCATATCTGTGTATTTTTGAAAAAAATTCAAAAGCTATCTACAATGTTTTCTAAATAACTATTAAGTCCTCAGATACTTGTCACAAAATTGACAACCATTAACAAAGTTTTGAGTTTTGACGCCCTAGACAAAACCATCTTCAAAACTTAGAAGACAAGATCACCTAAGTTTTACTAATTGATGAAAAAAATGTAAATATAGAGTCTGCGATTAGCTAGCGTTGTTGGAGTAAGATTAATTGTTGAAGCTACAATTATTATTCAAACATAAAAACAAACCATTTTTAGTCTAACATGAATCCTAACATTACATAAAGCTTCCTATGTAAAACAATGTCCACTCCATGGCGCCAACAAGAAAACATATCGAAAATGCTTACAGTTATCCATTTTTAGTGCTACTAAATCGAAATTAGAATGATATATTTGTTGCATGAGTATGAACAAAAAGAGTAATAAAATCGTTGGGATAATTTATTTTTCGTGTGTCATTGCGTCTTACTATATAAACAACTGATACTAAAAAAAACAACTAGAATGTGATTATGTGAATATCTTAGGAAAATCATCATGTTCTTAAATTCTTAGATTTCACTCGCTTTTGTGATAATCGACATGCTTGATATGATTTCGTTCAAAAACATGTTGTTCAAGGCACTAAGTCTCAGTTTTTAAAGGATAAAATTGTGTTTTCCAGTGGTCGAATTGTTCTGTTTTGGTTCTCCCTAACATTTAGCTAAATCGATGTTCTTTGGTGAACAACATTATTTTTCTTTTACCACAAAAAAAAACAACATTCTGTTCTTTTTGGTTGGGCAAACTAGTTTTCATTAATCCATAAGGAAGGAGCTGTTTAAACAAAACAGGGCAGCTTTTGCAAATGCATCAGTCTCAGCATTACATAAACAAGAAGCAAAAGCAAATAAAACATAGTGAAATTGGAGACAAAATATCCTTATGTCGTGAAAAATGTCTCTAAGCTAAGTTCAATCCGATAAAATTTGACTTGTTAATGATTTCTATCTCAAAAGCAAATTAGTTTTAGCAATGTAGATTTTGAGGGGTTAATTATTTGTTTAGATTCTGTTTTCCACAGTTTACAGAGAAAGTTATTAATTTGTACAACTCTTTTACTCTATATCATTTTGTTCAACTTGAACCAACCTAATGACACATATTTGAACCAACCTAAAAATAAGAACACATATTTAAAAAATAAAATTTATTTGAAGAAAAATAGTTAAGTTGATTGATATATTTGGTAATTAATGCGGGCTTAAACGTAAAAACACCAATTTATCTATGTGATTAACATAATTAATTTTATAGATATCGCAAAAAAAAGAGGAAAAAATGTGTATAAAAAAAAGGAAAAAGAAAGTCGAAGAAAATTCGAGACGAACGCTGCTCCTTATTAAAACCCTCTCTTGTTGTCTCTCTTCTTAGCTCTTCCAGATTTTTAGTTGCGACGATAAACTCAACCTAGAAGCTTCCAGAACCTAAACCCCTCTCGCGATCCAGGTATAATTCCGATGCCCTCTTCCTCGCTAACCCTTAGCTGCATATAGATCTTCTAGATCTGAATCTCCTTTTCTCTTTTTCCGTATATGTCACTTTTAGGTATACGATCTATTCGTATCAATGACTCTCGCATCCGATTACTTGTTTCTCTACTCATCTCTGAGCTCGAATCTGATTTCTCTGTTTATCCAATATCCGTCGCGTGTTTCTCTAGGAAAATTCCCTGCTTCTCGGAATATAAATGGCTTCCGAGCTGCTCTCATTTAGATTTCTGATTCAATTAGGGTTTTAAAGTAGTTTCATAATAATCTGTATATTGCTTGCATCAATTCGTATTGTAATCTGATTTTGTTTTTTATAATTGATGAATAGGGTTGCTGCTATAAAATTACTTGGGAGGACCCAGCATCGAAGTAAAGAAAGCGCGAGAATGAGTGTAGTTGGGTTTGATTTTGGAAACGAGAATTGTCTTGTTGCCGTTGCAAGGCAAAGAGGTATCGACGTTGTGCTTAACGATGAGTCAAACCGCGAGACTCCGGCTATTGTATGCTTTGGTGAGAAGCAGCGCTTCATCGGAACTGCAGGAGCCGCTTCGACCATGATGAACCCCAAAAACTCTATATCCCAAATCAAGCGACTAGTGGGTCGCCAGTTCTCCGACCCTGAGCTGCAAAGGGACATCAAATCTCTGCCCTTTTCCGTCACCGAAGGGCCTGATGGCTATCCTTTGATCCATGCTAATTATTTGGGAGAGAGGAGAGCCTTTACACCCACTCAGGTCATGGGAATGATGCTTTCTAATTTGAAAGGCATCGCTGAGAAGAACTTGAATGCAGCGGTGGTGGACTGTTGTATCGGTATTCCTGTTTATTTTACCGATCTACAGCGAAGGGCTGTTCTGGATGCTGCGACAATTGCAGGCTTGCATCCGTTGCACTTGATCCACGAGACTACAGCAACAGCTTTGGCGTATGGTATCTATAAGACTGATTTGCCTGAGAGTGAACCGCTCAATGTCGCATTCATTGACATTGGCCATGCAAGCATGCAGGTCTGCATTGCAGGCTTCAAAAAGGGACAGCTCAAGATCTTGTCTCACGCTTTTGATCGCTCGCTGGGAGGAAGGGACTTTGATGAAGTTCTTTTCAATCATTTTGCTGCTAAGTTCAAGGAGGAGTACAAGATTGATGTCTCTCAGAACGCCAAGGCCTGTCTCAGGCTCCGTGCTGCGTGCGAGAAGCTGAAGAAGGTTCTAAGCGCAAACCCTGTGGCACCATTGAATATTGAGTGTTTGATGGACGAGAAAGATGTTAGGGGTGTCATCAAGCGGGAAGAGTTTGAAGAGATCAGCATCCCTATTTTGGAGCGTGTTAAGAGGCCCCTGGAGAAAGCTTTATCTGATGCGGGTCTCACCATTGAAGATGTACATATGGTTGAGGTTGTTGGCTCTGGCTCTCGTGTCCCTGCTATTATCAAGATCCTAACTGAGTTTTTTGGTAAGGAGCCCAGGCGTACGATGAATGCAAGTGAGTGTGTGTCGAGGGGATGTGCCTTGCAGTGTGCCATTCTCAGCCCGACCTTTAAAGTTCGCGAATTCCAGGTGATGTGTGCATATCTATGCTTAAGGAAATGTGTTTTTTTTTGTTCGTAGTTGTACTCCAGTTTATCTAACAAGTCATATTTTGAATTCTTTTCTCTTAAGGTTCATGAGAGCTTTCCTTTCTCAATCTCGCTGGCATGGAAAGGAGCTACTTCTGATGCTCAAAATGGAGGAGCTGAGAATCAGCAGAGCACCATTGTTTTTCCCAAAGGAAATTCCATTCCTAGTGTCAAGGCTCTAACTTTTTACCGTTCTGGAACATTTTCTGTCGATGTCCAGTACAGTGATGTGACTGACTTGCAAGCACCTCCAAAGATCAGCACATACACGGTTTGATCTTTTCCCTATGTCATTTTGCTTAAGACTGTAGCGCTCTTGTTTCTCATGGTTGATTACCTTTTTGTAGATTGGTCCCTTCCAGTCATCAAAAGGCGAGCGGGCAAAGCTTAAAGTGAAAGTGAGATTGACCCTGCACGGAATTGTCTCAGTCGAATCAGCAACTGTAAGTTATTTTTATATATTATAGCTATTATGACAATTCAGTTCAACTGGTTCTTTAGGTCAACTATTTAAAGCCTGATTCTCTAAAATAGCTAATTAAAAAGTGATCACTCAGGGCTGTCCCAGTTGAGATCCTTTGATTTATGCTAATTATTTTTTTTCTCTCAGCTTTTGGAAGAGGAGGAAGTTGAAGTTCCAGTCACAAAAGAACAATCAGGGGAAGCTACAAAGATGGACACTGACAAAGCTTCTGCTGAGACAGCTCCTGCTTCTGGTGAATCTGATGTTAACATGCGGGACTCCAATGAAACCAGTGATGCGGCTGGTACTGACAATGGCGTTCCCGAGTCTGCTGATAAGCCGGTGCAAATGGAAACTGATTCCAAGGTTAGTTTATCTACTCAACTGATGGTACTTGCTCTATTCGCTCGCCTTTGAATCTCGAGTTAATGGGTATTTAAAAAATGGGATTGTGCAGGCTGAGGCTCCAAAGAAGAAGGTGAAGAAAACAAATGTACCTCTATCAGAATTGGTCTACGGTGCCATGCAATCTGGGGAGGTCCAAAAGGCTGTGGAGAAAGAATACGAGATGGCCTTGCAAGACAGAGTTATGGAGGAGACCAAGGACCGGAAGAATGCTGTTGAGTCCTATGTTTATGATATGCGAAACAAAGTGAGAATCCTTTTTCTTCTTCTTCTTTTTTTTTTTTTTTTGGCATTGAGAGTACGCATTTACAAGGTTTGCGAACTGACACGTGTTTTGTTTTCAGCTGAGTGACAAATACCATGAGTATATCACTGAGTCAGAGAGGGAAGCATTCCTGGCGAAGCTGCAGGAAGTGGAGGATTGGTTGTATGAAGATGGGGAAGATGAGACTAAAGGTGTTTATGTCGCAAAGCTCGAGGAGCTCAAGAAGGTAATATACACATGATGGATGGTTCTGCTTAAAAGTGTTAAAACAAATCTTTTTTTTGAACATATTGATTTTAACATGGCTTGATGAAATGTCTTATTTGTAGGCGGGGGATCCTGTTGAAATGCGTTACAAGGAGTCGATGGAAAGAGGGTCGGTCATTGATCAGCTTGGTTACTGTATTAACAGCTACAGAGAGGCAGCTGTGTCGAATGATTCCAAGTTTGACCACATTGAATTGGCAGAGAAGCAGAAGGTAAATAATATTTTCGAAAACAGACAGAGCAAATGCTAAGAATTCTCTTGATTTAAGAAGCATATTAAGATGTGTTGTTGTTGTTGTGCGATGATGTGAAGGTTTTGAACGAGTGTGTGGAAGCAGAAGCATGGCTGAGGGAGAAGCAGCAGCAGCAGGAGGCGCTTCCCAAGTACGCAACACCAGCTTTCTTGTCAGCTGACGTTACAAGCAAGGCCGAGGCATTGGACAAGTAAGCAAAAAAGCTCTTCGCATTTTGCGTCTTCCTGTTAAGAGAAATTTGCATTTATATAATGGTAGAACATGAGTTAATGGATGCAACTTTTTGTATGTTTGGCAGGTTTTGTAGGCCTGTAATGACCAAACCGAAGCCGGCGGTTAAACCGGAGGCACCACCAGCCAAGGCGGCGGATGAGGACAAGAGTGAGCCACAGCCACAGGCCTCTGGCGAAGAACCAATGGAGACAGAGAAGTCCACCCAAGATAGTGCCTAAGTGAGAGATTGGTGTTGTATCGATTTTGTTTCTCTACCTTTTGTTAGTTTCGTTATTATTCCCCGAAAGATTCTATATTTTTAACTCTTCTTTTGGATAACAATTTTCAGGAAGTAACGTTCCCATTTGTGTTTTCTTTATAGTTATTTTATCATGTGTGATGCGGATTTGTTCTTTCTACCTGTGAGTTGGTTACATCTTTTTGAAAGTTTTGTTTTTTTAGAGCAAACAAAATTCAATATTTGATCTCCCAAAGCTCAACATATCCTCTGTTCATTACTTTTTTCACCACCATGGTTGTCTTCAATAAGGCCATTAGCTAACCCATCAACATTTAACCACATTCATTTCCACCATTATTGGCCTTTGGACAAGGAGAAAAAAATTGTAGACAGGAGAGTCGGCAAACCGGAGAATTGTACCAAAAAAAAACTGGTTAGCAAAATCGAATGTTGTGGGAGAGAAAATTGATTTCCGGTTCAAATTAGATTAATAACCGGATAATTGGTTAACAAATCCCATAGGTATCGGAGAGTCAAACCCAGAATTGGGAATTAGGTTCCCGATCATCGGAGTTGCAACAACAATGGACACAATTGATCTGCACCAAACGAACGAATCTCTACTGTTCATACGATTTTGTCAAACTCATATCAGTTTCGATCAAACAAATTTAGTCTTTTCAACTTTCAAACAATACCACCGAATTCGAGACTTGATTATCATTCATAACAAAAAAAAGTAAAAAAGTAGGGCTGATTCTTCCGAAACTTGAACTACGACTCGAAGAACAGAAGAAAATAGATTGAGGATAACAAAACACGAAGAAGAATAGGAACATAGATCGAGAAAAACAAAAAAATGAACAAGAAATGGATCTGGAAAATTTTGCAAAAAAAATTTGAACCATTTCTCGATTTGTGCGTGTCATCCTTGCGCAGGGGCCATGCTAATCTTCTCTGTATCGTTCCAATTTTATCGGATGTCCCCGAAGGGACAATCAACTTAGCGACTCTAACGCTTTATAAACAATGGTTTTACTTCTCTGTTAAACGATGTGGGACAAATGGGAAGAACAAGAACAAGAGTTAATGGTGGGTCTTTCTAATGACCTGAAGAAGCCCATAAAATAGTTTAAGTTAAGATTCGTTATCAGGCCCGGTTAGATATTACAAACCCGAAAGCTTTCTTCGGTTTCTACAATAGACCGAAGTTAAACCACAACAACTGAGTTAAATTGCAGAGTCAAGTAGTTCTTCTTCTTCTTCTTCTGAAAAGATCAAACACTTGGGATTTATCGCCGGTGATTTTGAACAATGGACGGGGTTCTTGCAGCGGTTCCATCTGTAGTTTGTGGTGTCTCTCTACACAGTTCTTGTCGGAACAAGGTTAATGCTGTATCCAGACTCCATTTCCAAGGGAGTTCCCTGCGTCCAGTTTCAATGCTTCAAACTGAGAATTGCGTTTCTTCTCTCTCGATTTATCCTTCTCCAAAACGCCATTCGTTGCGTAGAAAGCGACATTGCGGTGAAATTTCGCGTTGCATCGTAAAATCCGCCGCTTCTTCAGGTAAAGGTTGAACCTTTTATTGCTGTCTGTGTTTAAGGACAAAGAAACAGAAATCGATTTTGAAATTGTCTTGGGATGATTTTGATTTTTTGGAGTTACTGGTTTATTCAATCATGGGATTTCCACAAAAAAAAAAAAGAGCAGAAAACAATCTTCTCTTCTAGAGAGGCATTACAACTAAAATAGAAGAGATCATTGTGTTTCTTTCTTTTAGAGCTTGTAGAAACAGTGTTAAGATAAGCAATGAACTTTTTAGAGAAGAAAATTGAAACCTAATATGATTTTGGTCTGTTTGACTTGTGTAGCTGGAAATGTTGACGAGTACGCCCAAGAATCGGCGACTAGCGTCAAGTTTCAGAGAACAGTGACATTACCGGGTTGTTCTAGCCCGCTCTCGTTGCTTGGCACTGGTCAGTTCCGGCCATTTCTGCATTCTTTAGCTTCAAAGTTTTCATTTTTCCCAACGCTTTTGTACATTTCTGAGGGATCTTGTATATACTTCTAAACTTGCTCTGAGACTTCCTTCAAAAGTCTATATCTGAAAATGTATCATTTTTTTTCAGGGTTTAGAGAGAAAAAATTTGCTATCATTGGTGTCAAAGTCTATGCTGCGGGTTTATACGTGAATGAATCTATCCTGAGCGGGTTAAGCGCGTGGAAAGGGCGATCTTCTGATGAAATCCAAATAGACTCATCACTGTTTAGTTCCATTTTTCAAGGTAATGTAATGCTAGAGATGATGGCTTTCTTCGTCCACATTTGATCTGTCTCTTTGTCTCTCTCTCTCACTTGAGTCTCCTTCCTCTCATCGATGCAGCTCAAGCAGCGAAATCGCTGCAGATTGTTCTTGTGAGAGATGTTGATGGTAAGACCTTCTGGGATGCATTGGACGAAGCCATTTCACCGAGAATCAAATCTCAGTCTTCTGATGATAAAACCGCTCTCTCTACATTCAGCGGAATCTTCCAAAACAGACCTCTCAACAAAGGAAGTGTCATACTCTTGACTTGGATCAGTCCTTCTAAAATGCTTGTAAGAAGCACAATTTTCAGGCTTTGGCGTATTGAATTGTTACACATGATCTCTTATTGTTTCTTGCTTATGTTTTGGTTTATTTTTTCGTTAGGTTTCTGTTTCATCGGGAGGATTGCCAACGGATGTGGATGCTGCGATAGAGTCTGTTAACGTTACATCTGCTCTGTTTGATGTGTTTTTTGGAGATTCTCCGGTTTCTCCTACATTGAAATCCTCTGTGGCTAACCAATTAGCTATGAGTCTTGTGTAAAAGTAAATTTCAGGTTGTACTTGTATATCATGAATCTTGCAATGTGTTAATCTTTGTTAATGTTATTTTTCTTAATCAGGCGAAGATAACCAGCTGAAAATACCATGTTTAAACAAATGTAATACTAGAAATCTCATTTGAAACTTAGTTAGATATATAAAGAGCAAAGTCACTCTATTTATTAACAATCCACTTTTAAGATGGGTTATGGTGAATCTTAAAATGGTATCCTAGCAAACTAAACGCAAAATGGGTTGCTCTTTATTTAGTCCAAAGTCATGAGTTAAACAGCCAATTAAACAGAAGTAAAGTAATAACTTAAAAAGTCTTAATCAAAATCATACAGTACTTTATCCAATGGGAAATAAAATTGGTTGTGGAAGAAGACATAGAAATGAATGAGATTGTAGGGTTTAGGCCAAGTTGAGCAAGTGAGCCCTCGACCATATGCAACTTCCTTTGTCACTCTCATTGGACCACACTTCATGTTGTATTTTGATTTATCATATGATGCATTATTATATTTTCCCACTGGAGCACTATTATATTTGGTTCGTTAAATTTTAATAATATATAACTCAAATAAAAACAAACAAAATAAATCTGGTTGATGTGAATATTTTGGTCCATTCAGTCAAATTCTAAAGTAAATGGATACAAAAAGCATGATTCATGTGGTTAATGGTGGTTATGTCCCTCGGTTGAATTGTGACTCATGCATTTTTCTTTCACATATCTTTTTTTTATTATTAAGCACGATGACTTCTTTTCCAAAATAACTACTACGGTAACTATAACAACGTGATATGTGCTGCTTTTAGTATCATATACTATTAATTTGTACCTAATAGAAGAAAATGAATTGAAATACGCACAAAGATCAACTTTAGTTTGAACGCCTTCTTTTTAAAATTTGATACCTTATACAGCATATATTATGAATTTATAGAGTATTTGTGCGGCTTATGATCGAGTTTCTATTTATTTATTTTTTTACAAAAGTGATTAATATAGATTTTCTATATGCTCTAAAAAAATTTTTATATATGTGGGACTGTCTTTTTCATGCTTTAAGTAATGGACCAACTTTGCAACTCACTTATTTGTTTGAATTTTTGAATGCCTCAAATACAACAAAAACAATAATGTTGATATTTTTCAATATTGAATCTAGATCAGATATAATATTAACGTAGTCATAACCTTTTAATGAATTGCCCCTAGTGAGATAAACTTTTGATTTGAGCCAGACACTAAAAGTTGGTCTTTTCAATAAATACTAACGCCAATTTGTGTAAATTGACATGCACATATCAACAATTTAACACCTTTAGTTTCACACGAATTACAAAAACAATCTTATCTTTATATTTTTTTCTTAGAAGAGCAAGACTAAGACATTCCAATGAGGATCGCAATCTTTGTCTATATTTTTATAATTATTTTATTCACAAATAAGAAAATAGACTAAAACACAAGCGACAGATAATCAGATATCAAAGCCAACAACTTGATACTTGAAGTTAGAGGGTCTTTTTCTCAACGTAGTATGGAATGTTTATGTATCAAATATGGTATTTTTTTCCTAATATATTATCGTCTTTGAATCAGTATAATCTCAAAGTAAACAGTTATTAAACGTCAATAATATCTTATATCAGTATCTTCGTTTGACCAAAAAAAATCTTATACCAATATCTTCTAAAGATATTTGTTTGTTTACACATGAATTAGTCAATTCCCAATTGGATGATTATTCCTTAAAAAGTATTTTAAATAAAAAATCGAGGAATTATTTGTTTTATACTAATGTTATCATCATAAGAGAATCAAGTAGTATATTTCCCTGCAATTAGTACGAGTAGAGAAATACTATCATCACGTGGGGGTTAAATTGACAACTTGACAAAAAGAGTAGCTACATTTAAAATTAAATTTTTGGACAGGGGTCAAAATTAGGAAGTAGAGAAATATAAACGGTCCAAGTCCAGCAACAGGTGGCTTAACCAACCAGTTGGGGGTCATTTTCAAAAAGGTCGTCAACAGTGGGGAAAACAATAAAATTCTTACCCTTAGAGTTGTTAGTAATTAACGATACTGCCACTCATCTGAGACTTGTATAACCCGTACGCCATAAGTACCAAGAGAATTGCTTCATTTAGAAATCATTTTTATTCAAATTTAGAAACACAAAAAACTCAAATTCGGTATTTTTTTTTTAAAAAAAAACTTCTGATTCTCTCTCGTCTTCTTCTCTGATCGCTGGATCTAGGTTTTTTATTTTTGTACTCGCTCGTCTTCTTCACTCTATGGGCTGATTAGTGCTCGTCTGGGTTTGAGAGTTTTACGAATCTAGGGTTTTTTAATCTTCTTCTAAAAAGCCTGTTTCGATTTTGGTTTCTGGAATTTATCTTTTTTTCTCTGTCTGAGATTCAAAGATTTCTGAGATAATTTTCGGAGTTTTGAGTTCCCAGAGTTTGTTCGTGTCGATTGCCGTATTCTATTTCGGTCTTTGTGCTTCATCGGATAAATCAGGCAAGATTCGAGTTGATAAATTTGAAGAGGATGCAACAAAATCAAATGAAGAAGGTTTTTCTCTCTCTTTCGACCTCAAGATAATCATACTTTAGTTTGGAATGTGCTAAATAGAGAATAAAAGACTTTCCTTTTTTCAAATTAACAGCAAAAATCAGCTTTCCTATTTCAATTCCAATAAGGGTCTTAGTTGCATGAGCATATAATGCCATCTGGTTTTTTTCACAATTTTAGTGGATTCTTATTAAATTTATGTTGTCTGTTTGATTTTGTGATTCACCAGGACACGAAAGAGATGGAATTTTTCACCGAGTATGGTGATGCTAACCGATATCGGATTCTTGAAGTTATTGGCAAAGGAAGCTATGGAGTTGTGTGTGCAGCTATTGATACACACACTGGAGAGAAAGTTGCGATTAAGAAGATTAATGATGTCTTCGAGCATATCTCTGATGCGCTTCGAATCCTCCGTGAGGTGAAGCTTCTTCGGCTTCTAAGGCATCCAGATATAGTGGAAATCAAAAGCATCATGCTTCCTCCTTCTAAGAGGGAGTTTAAAGACATTTACGTTGTGTTTGAGCTTATGGAATCGGATCTTCATCAAGTTATTAAAGCTAACGATGATTTGACTCGCGAACACCACCAGTTTTTCCTCTATCAGATGCTTCGTGCCTTGAAGTTCATGCATACAGGTCCAATTCTTTTCAATTTTCCCAGACCTGAGTTCGGCAGCATTTTTTTTTTTTTTTTAATTCTGTAGTTGGAACTAACTGTGTTTTTTCTTTTTTTCTTTGATGGGTGCAGCTAATGTTTATCATCGTGATCTTAAGCCTAAGAATATACTGGCCAATGCAAACTGCAAGTTGAAAGTTTGCGACTTTGGTTTGGCTAGAGCATCGTTCAATGATACGCCTACAACAGTCTTTTGGACGGTTTGTAGTCTCATGGCCACCTTTCTATTTGTTAACTGTTAAATTCTGTTTTTGTTAATGTCTTTAATTTTGTTTTCTGAATTTTCCCCTTGGCTTCATTTTTCAAAATGCAGGACTATGTTGCCACAAGATGGTATAGAGCGCCTGAGCTCTGTGGATCATTCTTTTCTAAGGTATGTGATACTGTGGGCTTATATGCTTATGTCTTAGGTACCGTAGAATATCTGCAGAATAGTATTAAAAGATATAGGTAATATTTGATGTTGAATGTATAAGTATAGAGCTGTTCCCCAGTGGGATAGTATAAACCAGCATATATTAAAATAATTCTTGTTCAGGGATGACTTTGAACTCTCCCGGAAGTTGAAAATCTGTGAATCAGGTAACCTTGTATCAGGTTATGTCCATTGAGTGGTTTCGTTGCATCTGCAACTTCATATTTGTGAAAGAAAAAAAAAACATTTCTTTTCTCATAGTCTGATTTACAGTTACTATCTGTTTGCAGTACACTCCAGCTATCGACATTTGGAGCATTGGCTGCATCTTTGCAGAGGTACTAACAGGGAAGCCATTGTTTCCGGGAAAAAGTGTTGTCCATCAGTTGGAGTTGATTACTGATCTTCTTGGCACACCAAAATCAGAGACAATTTCTGGAGTAAGATCCCTTTGTCTGCTTCACAGTCACTTGTCCTATATATGTTTTTATTTTTGATTTTTATAGCTAAAAACCTGTTTCTCTGATACAGGTTCGAAATGATAAAGCTAGAAAATACTTGACCGAAATGAGGAAGAAAAATCCTGTCACCTTCTCTCAAAAATTCTCCAAAGCAGATCCTTTAGCAATACGCCTTTTGCAGAGGCTGTTGGCTTTCGATCCCAAGGATAGACCGACAGCTGCAGAGGTCTCTCTTCTGTCATTTTCACTTTGCTATTAGATTCTTGTTTCAGTCTCTTTGAAAATCTGCCTTGCTTCTTGAGTGTATATCTCTGCTTACTTGTCCATCTCTTTTGTTTTTTTTTTCTTTTTTCCGATAGGCATTGGCTGATCCTTACTTTAAGGGTCTTTCCAAGGTTGAAAGAGAACCTTCGTGTCAGCCAATCTCGAAGATGGAGTTTGAATTTGAGAGACGAAGGTTGACAAAGGAGGACATTAGAGAACTAATTTACAGGGAAATACTGGAATACCATCCTCAGTTGCTCAAAGACTATATGAGCGGATCTGAGGGATCGAATTTTGTATATCCTAGGTTGTTTTTTGTATATCTTAAGGGTTCTTTCTCCCTTCTGGCTTCTCATCCGTTTTGCTAATTGCTTGACTTTTTCCATTGCAGCGCCATTGGACATCTCAGAAAGCAGTTTACGTACTTAGAGGAGAATAGCAGCAGAAATGGGCCAGTCATACCTCTCGAGAGGAAGCACGCATCACTTCCTCGGTATGTTTTTCTCCTTCCTAGCATCTGTAGAGCATGCCAGAGTATTCATCTGTTCTCTACCTCTTATAATTCTCCACAGGTCTACAGTTCACTCCAGTGTAATCCATCCCACCATTCAACCTGACTTGTGTGCGACAGAGAGTAAACGTGTTTCTTTCGAGCCTTCAAGAAATGGAATAGTTTCTGCAGGGCATCCATCAACTTCCGCGTATCCAACTAAAGCTTTAGGACCTCCACCAAGAGTACCATCAGGTAAATTCCTCGGATCACACCACCAAAAATATTACTTGCTAAAATTGGAAACTTTAACCCCATGAAACCAATCTTTTATCGCTGTTTGTTACTTACAGCTAGACCAGGTCGTGTCGTAGAATCATCTGTATCTTATGAGAATGGTAGGAACCTCAAAGAAGCTTATTTCAGAAGTGCGGTATCATCTCCTCACTGTTACTTCCGAGCAAACACCATGAACCACAACGTAGAAGCTTCTTCTCAGCCAAAACCGCAACAATTCGTCCACCATTACAACCCAACCGTGCAGCCAGCTGCTACAACTAACCAGACAGACGTTGAGATGATGAACCACCACCCAAATCCTTATTTCCAATCACAGCTCCCCAAGATAGATCAATTAAGCAACAACACACATATGGCCATTGATGCTAAGTTGTTGCAGGCACAATCACAGTTTGGTCCGGCTGGAGCCGCAGTGGTTGCAGTAGCAGCCAGTTGTATTAGTTCTCCTTTATAGCTCTTGTAACTTTTTGGGTAGTTTCAATAAGTTGGAAGTCCTAAAAAATTAGAAAATGTTATAAATCTTAACATTTTATCCCCAAAAAAGTGATACCATTTAAGGTTGAAATTTTTATATTGTTTCACTAGTGTTAACATGTGGCTGATTTGAGGTAATAAATAGTACCAGTTCACAATGTTGAGGTACTAATCAGTCTTTTTCCTGTCAAAAACTATCAACACCCCTTCAAAACTTTGTTGATCTCCTTAATTTTATTCTTCCATAAATTTGTTTTATTAGACCATAGCTTATAGTTTTAATTTGTTGTACAAATTTATCATATTAGTTTTTTCTTTGTTCTGTTTATTTTTGTTTAATGTATAATATAAAAAACGAATAATTTTTATAAAAAAATTAAAATGTTTCATGATATTTATACTACACTTTCTAAAAAAAACTATGTCCTATATAGCTTTATCTATCTACAACATATAAACCTAGTTGTGAGTCTTGTGACAACTATATAAATGCAGTTATTTAGAATAGTACATGAGATTGTCAAGAATAAAAAACAAAAAAGAGAAATACTGCGTTCTCTGCTATTCACCGATTTCACATGCATTTTAGAGACTGGTTTACTTTCATCTAGAACACACACAAAAACACGTAACTCCGGTAAAAATAATTTAGAAGTTGGCCACTGGTAAAAACACATCAGAACATTAGTACAATTAGTTACGGCGCAGCATTGTAGACTCATCAAACAAACACCTCAGACAGGTTGTTAAACACATTATCCCTCTCCATGCAAAGGAAACCAGGAGGTGATTCTGGTCTCAGTTTTTATGTAAGTATTGTTCAATCATGCTCTGATTTGAACAACTTTGCAATGATATAATGAAGACTCTCTTAAGTAGTAACTCTCCGGACAAGATCGCTTAAATCATTCTGATCCCGGGTTATCACCAGTGATTGTCTCGGTTAGCTTGTTGGCTCCATAATCTTTGAATTTGTTATAAGCGTAGTTCATTGAAGAGAAGAAGATCGTGGTGATTATATACTTCTTAAACTTGAAGATCGGTCCCATTACACCTTTAATTTTTTCTTCAACAATGAGGAATATCTTTCTTTATCGGGAAATTGATCTAGTTCGCTTATATAGAAACATTAGGCCAAAGAATGTGGATGTCAAAAAAAAGTCATTGGTCCTGGGATTTCCCTCCCTCCGTAAATCAATCTTTCGCTATTATGTAATTAGTCATTCTTTATTGTCCAAAAACAAATTAGTCATTTTATTCAATGGTTACAAAAAAAAAGAGTAATGCTCGTTTACCCGCCAATTTAAGACTACCGGTTTCGTGGACTGGGACCTAAACCTGTATAGGCCTGAATTGAGCACATTAAGGATCATAATGGGCTTCCATTATTGATAGCGAATTTGACTTCACTTCTCTCTTTTTTTTGTTTTTTTTAATAGCATGAGAGAGTGTATTTTTGACTCTTTAATTTTATCAATTAAAAGGGAAGGAAATAGTGTGAACAAAAAAGGAAGGAAATTAAATGATTCCGTTACGTGACATTACCTGTGCATTGAAAGATCCGTTATGCTTTAATCTCAGTTTCTTTTTTGGTTTGTTGAACTAAAACTGATGTTTAGTCTCAGGTTCACATGTAATGTAGTTCTTTTCAATCTAACATTAAATCTTTATAACTGACATGCTTACGTTATACTTAAATCATAAACATATAATGGATTTTAATTAAATCCCGATATTAACCTTTTAATTAACGATTTATTCGTTAATTTTCACATTTTTTTGACATTTTAAATTAAATTAAACAATTTACATATTAATTCTCATATAGAAACATATAGTAGAAAAATAATCCTGTTTACTACTTTCGTTTTTTAGTAAAGGTAGCTAACTATACAAATTGCATTCAATTTTTTTATTTTGAATTTCTATTACAGATTTGTGTGGGTAAATTGGGTAAAAGAAAGAAAAAAAAGACATCAGTTTTTAATGTCGGACCCTTAGCTCACGTGAAATAAGTAAATATCAAAGACAAGTAAGGGTAAATTCGTCAATTCGCTCCTACGGTTCTCCGTAACTGTCTCGGCATATAAGAGGCGCAGTGTTCAGAGACGCTCCGTAGACCGTAGATTCCCTCCCTCTTCTTCTTCCTCTGTACTGTTCCTTCTTTTGATCTCTCTCTCAGAAGTTTCTCTCTCTAAACTATCTCTCTTAAGATCTTGTTCCTGGATTATCTGATTCTAATCTGAATTGTGTCGGTACGTGAAATGTGTCTCTCTTCTATGTTTCTGTCCCTCAAAGCTCTCTAAAGCTAATTTGCGAAATGTTGTACGTGGTAGTGACATACAAACATATACGATAATTGATCTGGTTTATACAGATTTCTATCTTTTCTGTTTATGATCCAAAACGTTAATCATTTTGTTCGTTTAAGATCTGCCTGCTAAGCTAAATTGATTCGGTTTTCAGGCGATTGGATCTGGATCTGCCCTTCTTCTGAATTTTCCTTTTTTTGTTATATGATCCGTTCTTGAATTACATTCCAGTGTTTGCAAGATCGAATTTTTTTTGGGTGTAAGTAACGAAAGCTTCTATTTTTTTGGTTTTGGTTGCAGATATTGGTGATACCAAATGGCTACTACATATAAGCCAAAGAACATTCTCATCACTGGAGCTGCTGGATTCATTGCCTCTCATGTTGCCAACAGACTAATCCGTAGCTATCCAGATTACAAGATCGTTGTGTTGGACAAGCTTGATTACTGTTCAGATCTGAAGAATCTCGATCCTTCATTTTCTTCACCAAACTTCAGGTTTGTCAAAGGAGATATCGCGAGTGATGACCTCGTTAACTACCTTCTAATCACTGAAAACATCGACACGATCATGCATTTCGCTGCTCAGACCCATGTTGATAACTCTTTTGGTAATAGCTTTGAGTTTACCAAGAACAATATTTATGGTACTCACGTCCTCTTGGAAGCCTGCAAAGTAACAGGACAGATCAGGAGGTTTATTCATGTGAGTACCGATGAAGTCTATGGAGAAACCGATGAGGATGCTGCTGTAGGAAACCATGAGGCTTCTCAGCTGTTACCCACAAATCCATACTCAGCTACTAAGGCTGGTGCTGAGATGCTTGTGATGGCTTATGGTAGATCATATGGATTACCGGTTATCACAACTCGTGGGAACAATGTTTATGGGCCTAACCAGTTTCCTGAAAAACTGATTCCTAAGTTCATCTTGTTGGCTATGAGTGGGAAGCCGCTTCCGATCCATGGAGATGGATCTAACGTGAGGAGTTACTTGTACTGTGAAGATGTAGCTGAGGCATTTGAGGTTGTTCTTCATAAAGGAGAAGTTGGTCACGTCTACAATATCGGGACAAAGAGAGAAAGAAGAGTGATCGATGTGGCTAGAGACATCTGCAAACTATTCGGGAAAGATCCTGAGTCAAGCATCCAGTTTGTGGAGAATCGTCCCTTTAACGATCAAAGGTACTTCCTTGATGATCAGAAGCTGAAAAAATTGGGTTGGTCAGAGCGAACCGCGTGGGAAGATGGGTTGAAGAAGACAATGGAATGGTACACTCAGAATCCTGAGTGGTGGGGTGATGTATCTGGAGCTTTGCTTCCTCATCCGAGAATGCTTATGATGCCAGGTGGAAGACTTTCTTCTGATGAGAAGAAAGACGCGTCAAGCAACACGGTCCAGACATTTACTGTTGTGACACCAACTCACAACAAGACCGGTGGTTCTAGTGACAAAGCCTCGTTGAAGTTTTTGATCTATGGTAAGACTGGCTGGATTGGTGGTCTTCTAGGGAAGCTATGTGAGAAGCAAGGGATTGCGTATGAGTATGGGAAAGGACGTTTGGAGGATAGAGCTTCTCTCTTGGCGGATATTCGTAGCATCAAACCGACTCATGTCTTTAACGCAGCTGGTTTGACTGGGAGGCCTAATGTTGACTGGTGTGAATCTCACAAACCAGAGACTATTCGTGTCAATGTCGCTGGTACTTTGACTCTTGCAGATGTTTGTAGAGAGAATGGTCTGTTGATGATGAATTTCGCCACCGGTTGCATCTTTGAGTACGATGCTGCACATCCAGAGGGCTCCGGTATAGGTTTCAAGGAAGAAGACAAGCCTAATTTCACTGGTTCTTTCTACTCAAAAACCAAAGCCATGGTAGTATTTATAATCCAACTCGTATGACACTTTCAAAACCAATAGGTCACTTTTGTTCATAATTGTTCTGTTTTGTTTTTCCAGGTTGAGGAGCTTCTGAGAGAGTTTGACAATGTATGTACATTGAGAGTGAGGATGCCGATCTCATCAGACCTAAACAACCCACGAAACTTCATCACAAAGATCTCTCGCTACAACAAAGTGGTGAACATCCCCAACAGCATGACCATACTGGACGAGCTTCTCCCAATCTCCATCGAGATGGCAAAGAGAAACCTAAGAGGGATATGGAACTTCACCAACCCAGGGGTGGTGAGTCACAACGAGATACTGGAGATGTACAAGAGTTACATCGAGCCAGGATTTAAATGGTCCAACTTCACAGTGGAAGAACAAGCAAAGGTCATTGTTGCTCCTCGAAGCAACAATGAAATGGATGGGTCTAAGCTAAGCAAGGAGTTCCCTGAGATGCTACCCATCAAAGAGGCACTGATCAAATACGTCTTTGAACCAAACAAGAGAACCTGAGCACTCAATGAACAACACACTCTTTACCCCGAGTGCTTACCTATACTGTTTCTTTTCTTTCTTTCTTTTTTTCACTTCTTTCTACAAATTTGTCATTTTATGTTTAATCGTCGTTTTACAATCCTTGTAGGTAGTTTCACTATACTGATTCTACTAAAATATGATTTATCATTATTATTTATAAAGACGAGAGTTTTTCCTTTTCTCAAATCCTACATTTTCCCTTCTAAGACATTATAAAAACGAAGAGTCACGTACTGGTTGGGACCATTAGGGATTCCACCAAGGCAGGTTCAAAACACTTGAACTTGATCGCTAGGCTATAACCTGAGGTGAGAAGCAACAACAAGTTAAATAAACCCAAGTATTTGATGTGAATTTGGTACACGAGTTAGAATTTGCTTACGTGAACAGTTGAGGGCGGGAACGAGAGAGCTGAGAGCGTTTGATAGGGGAGAGGATAAGGTTTCGTAGTGTTGATTGGGGATTAGAAGTGCCACCACCACCAAAAACAGGATGTCCTCCTCCTGCTCTTCTGTTTCCAACGTCACTTGGAATTGCGGGTGAGTCGTTGGAGATGTCAAATGGACCCGAGTTTGAACTGTTCTGTCTTGCTGGCCATATCTCATCTTTAGGTCCTGGTGTTGCAGGAGAGTAAAACGACCGGTCTGCGCCAAATAAGTCAACTTGATTTGGAGATATTAACCAACAATAGACTTAGTATCATAAGAATCACTAAACTCATGGCACAGAAAACAGTGTTGTTAATAAACCTTTGCGAGTGGGCTCTCTGTTCTCCATCATGTTAACTGGTGGGTTTGAGAAAAAGTCAGGTTCGTGGTGTCGTGGGTAGAAATTGTTTGCAGGCTGTATTGCTGTGCGTTTGACTGACTCATACTCGCTTCTTAACTGGTCATACATCTCATCAAGCTTCCTTTTCTGTCTGGTGTTTAAACACAGTTAATGTAGCTTGTTAAGATAAGAAACAGATCCAGTCAAACAAAACTTCTGTTGAATTACTGACCTAGATTTCTCGGAGAACTTCTCTTGGAGCTCTTGTTTATCCTTGGTCAAGTTTTCTACCTCTTGCTCCATCATCTGACACCTCTTGCCCATCTTCTGGTAAGCTGTATGCACCTGCTCCATTTTCTCGCTAAACTTTGCTTGCATACCCTCACATTTCTGACGACACTGTGCGACAACTCTATTCATCTTGTACTGCATCTCTAAGTCTCTTTGCGAAATGTAAAACATTACGCTTCGGTATGCACTCTTCATCACTAGATTTAATTAAGGAAAACAGAGGGAGGTTCGTTGAATCTTAGACTGTTGTTTTACCAACGTTTTACTAATGCAATAGACACAGTCAGTTGATGGAAACTGTTAAAGCATTTTTCAGATTTCAAATACAGAAGGACGTTTTTCAGTTAAAGAACCTATTTGCAACTGATACCAAGAGTGAAACGGACTAAATTTATGAAAAGGATACGTATTTGTGGAGAAATTCCAGCCATCGCCATCTGATAACAAAGGTAAGCAATGAGGAGATGTAAGATGGGAATATTGGAAATCTGGAAAAGAAGAAAAGCTATAGCATCCTTGCGTACTCCAGCTCAACCACTTACGTTTATCCATTCTTCATTTGGGTTGGTATCCACAGGTTTCATTAGACTAAGATGAAAAAAAAAAGAAGAGAAACTGTCAAGCAGGAAATAAGGGCTACAATTGAAGCTAGGCAAGTAGCTTAGGGAGATTTTTACCTCTTGGAGAGCACTTGATCACAAATGGGACATGCCCCATCATTACTTAGAATCTTGGTGGCATCTTCAGTGCCTGTTCACGATGTTAAGGTCATCTTATTCAAGCTCAAAAGTATTGTATCCATCAAAAAAAGGCTAAAGAACACTGAGAGTATACAGAAAACTAGAGATGTAAATAGGTTACATAATAAGTGACCACATGTTGTGGCAATGGCCCGGCCCTCCAATTCCCTCCAGCAGGCGTTGCACCTCATGGCAACCTCTGATATAAGTATCTCAAGCTGCTACACACCTGCAAATCAACTTCATAAATAAATAAAAAGATGAAGATTCATGCTGTAATCAAAACTCCCATTCTCCATGTTCCTTTTGATTTAGAGTTCCATCTCTCAGTATTTCTACACGACTAATTCAGAAGCCAAAGTCAAGCGTTTATAGAACTGTTGAAGATGAAATAAACTTGTTGAGATCATCGATAACTACCAACACAGATTTTGATCAACCTACTTTCATTCTAACTACTGCGAATTGTTAAAATGAAACCACGAATTGGTACAATAGGTCTGCTGGAAACACAACCTAAGCAATAAAATCTGTCGAATTTCAGGAGGATGCAGTTTATAGTAATCGGAGATGTACAAAACTTACGGTTAGTGATAAGAAGTTGAAGACGAAATCAAACGAATATCAGGACGGAAACCCTAGAAATTCAGCATAAACGGGCACAGACTCCAGAGATCTGCAAAACATCGCGAAGTAGAGATCACGGGGCCGATTATGAGGATATGCAAACTATTCGACTGCACACGGTCCGAAATTAGGGTTTCTACATCACACCGATCAACCTCAACATTTAGACGCCGACTACTCTCTGTAATTTGAGGTAAAGTTTCTTCAGGAACGGAGACAAATAGGTTTACTAACCTCTGTAATGTGAAAATTGACGCAATCCTTGGAAATGGAACGAACTTAGGTCTAGAAACGAAACCACAGAAAGAATTCGAAGAATCTACGAAGGAAATTAAAGAAGCTTACCTGCGATTTTGTGAGATTGAGAGAGAACGCGTCGCAGAGAACGAGGAAGAACAACAAACGGCGCTTTAGCTCACCGATCTGACGGACTCTGAAGAGGACCACCAAATGATCTAAGAATCGAAGAAGAAGCAGATAACTGAAAATTCCAGAGAAAACACACGAATTACAAGGATCGTTACCTCTTAGCTGATTTCAATGTCGGCGCGAGAAACGAAGATTTGAAAATTCCCTGAAATAATGAGCTGCTGAAAATATTTTAGCCGTTTTGCGCGAGGAGTAAGCAAAAATATTCGTCAATAATAAAAAACAAAATTGAAAAAAATAGACAAGGAGAAGCAGTAATGTAGATACCTAAACGACGTCGCACACGGTTACGTATTTTACGCCGTCAGTGTGTTAAAGGTTAAGTACATGACCAAACGACGTCGCTATGGTGTTAAAGGTTATGACTAAACGATGTCACTTCGATTTGTTCTGTTAATTTTTTTATTTTATTTTTTTTTTGTTCTGTTAATTGTTAATCAGTTAATCTTCAACAGACACAACACAGCTTGTAGAATCAAAATTCATATGATGTGAGCTATTATTGCATGATGAATATAACCACATAAAAACAAATTCCGGCTTCACATTGCAAATATGAAGAATACACTCAAGGTCTCAAAACAATAAAGAGAGAGTAAAAGAGCAAGAAGAAGGAAAACAAAATCTCTTTTTCACTCTCTAGTCTCTACAATTACAAACAATACAAAAACTCATATCTTCCAATCTTTAAGCATTGCGTTGTTGGTTGTTGTTCCAGCTAGGAGGAATGCGATCAGAAGTGATCTGAGTAGCAGAAGGAGGAATGCTTTTGACGTTGATATTAAGAGGATATAACCGATATTCGATATCCAATTCTCTGCAAGCTCTACCAATCTCTTCAAGTAAATGACCTCTCCTCACATATCTCTCTCCCATGTTTTGATGATTCATCTTATGCGTTGGCCACATCGCAATCTTCACACTGTTCAATCCACACATATCTCTAAACACAATCATCGGCGATGGATGCCAATGATCCTTCTTGTTATCTACATAGCTGCATAAACACAAAAACCAATGGAATATGATTCATATTAGTCTCTGTTTATTTCCTTTAAAGGTTTAGGATTAAGGGTTTGGAGTTTAGCTTCTAACCTGAGTATCCTCTGTTTCAGGGCGGTTATCTTTTCAGGTGGAGTTGCTATATGGACAAAGAACTCAATGGCATCTTGCATATCCGGACTCCGGTAATAATTAGCGATAGGTTTTGTGCCAAGAAGACTGTTTGGATATACGATCTTCTGATTATCAAATCGAAGAAAGACGGTAGTCAAAATGTTCATCTCTTCCACAATCATCTATACTTGGAAGAAAAACAGAGGATTAGCTTTTTCTTCAAGTAATGTGTTTACGTAATTAAATGCAGAAACAGAGTTTCAAGAAACAAACCTGAACACCGTCTATTTCACACCTGTCACCGACATCAAATGGATGCATCACAAAGACGAAGATGACAGCTTCAAAGATGGTTTTGCAAGAATTCCCAAACACAAAGACTACAAGAAGAAGCTGTGAGCTTATGACAAACAAGAACTTGGTTGTAGCGATTCCTAGGATGAGAAGCCAGACGATTATGATCACAATGCTGACCAGAACATCGACGATTCGGTGAAGCCTGTTCACTGCTGTTTTTGTATCGTTTAAAGTCAAAGCTAGTGCTCTTCGTTCTCTAAAGGCATTAACCTAGCAAAAGGGTTTAAGGATTTTAGCATCGTTCGAAAGAAAGCTTTTTGAGATATCATGAATCTAAAACAAAACACTTACCACCCAATTTTTCAGACAAGATTTGCTGATTTTGTGACTCTCTGAAGCTCCTTCAAAGAGTCCCATGGCTCTTTCAGATTCATCTTCAGTCAGAAAACGCATAAAGTCTTCGATATATATGTACCTAAAACCAAAAGAAAAAAAAAATCCTCTGTTTTAAAATCTTGATCCTAAAGAAACATCAAATCAAAGTTATGCATAACGTCATACGATATATATATATATATATATATATTTATATATATATATATATATATATACCTGGATCCAGGCTCAGCAACATTCTGAAAAATCTTCCTCGCTGCAAGTTTTGCTTCAAATTCACTTCGTATCTGTGTGGCTTTGTCATCTTCGTGAGTCGTCGTGTCTTGAATCTGCTCATCCAAAGTAGAAAGAGTTCCTTTTCTTATCACATTCATCAGTCTCTTCATTTTCCAAGCCGATACGTTTTTAGTGTTCATTCTCTGCAAATGATCGATCCTTATCCCTTCCTCCTCTCCTTTCTTGGAACCACACCGTGAAAGAACCGGACTTTTGCCGATTCTGGTCGGACTCTTTTGCAGCCTTCCACTTCCAATGGTCACTTGTGGCGAAGAATTAGAAACTGCCGTTGGACCTGGAGGAGATAGCTTAGCTCCAGCCATCTCTAAAGTCTTTACATCATTTGCTACTTTCTCTTCTTCTAAATGAATCTCAATTCGAGGAGGTCCCGAGAGAGTCTCGATCACGTATTGAGTAAACAGCGATTCTTGAATCCGATCGAAGTAAGTACTCATATGGAACGATGAAGCGAGAACTTTAACCAGTAAGGTCTTTATGAGCCAGATGATAACAGCAACGAGTAAACAGACTAGAACTTTAGTAACATACTTAAGCACTGTGCTTCCAGTTTCCCTTTCGATTTTCTTGTCGAACAAGAAATGCCATGCGATCAACACAAGCCCTAGCCACAGACAGTTCTGAACCGCCTTTCGGATACCGTAGACGAAATACAAAACCCTCTTTCTCAGAAGAAAGTTGCTTTCGACGAAGTAGACGAATAGCTTCACTATCCAGCTCGAAACTAATCTCCCACATATCAACACAAGAACCATCACTTCCCATTTCCACAAAGCTAGGTTCCACAGTTTCTTGCCACGCAAGAAAGGTATCACTAGACTACAAATCAAACCGGCGATGATCAGAATCAGAAATATCCATTCCATAATAACCCAAACACAAAGTTTATCCTTCCTGTAACCTTCTGGAAAATCCTCCTCTGAAAACGGATCTTCCTCTTCTTCCAAATCCATGGCTCCTCCTTGGATTGGAGTTCCCGGTTTAGTGGTTTTCCCGGAATACCCGGGTTTCAAATTACCGGATTTTGGAGTCCGACCCGAAACCATCTCCGGATAAGCAGGAGTTGGAGGATCCATCAATCTAGATCTTGTCTTTGTCTTCATCAAAGTCTTTGTCCTCAGCGATCTATTCGAGCTACACTTTACAACCTCTGATTCGTCTACTCTGTTTTCGTCTTCTTCACTACTATCGCTATCTTTAACAGACGGAGAAAGCGTCACTCTGTTTTGCCTCCGTCTAATAGCATCGACCGCCGTTATTGGTGAAGCAGAACCCGAAGCCGCCGTTACCGGTGACGGAGAAACCATGTTGCTTTGAAGCTCCGGCATGTTAGGTTCCATGTCGAGAGATATCTCATCACCCGAAGCTTTCTGTTTATTGAGAAACTGATCTATGAGCCTTGACGGTGGATCTGGCTCCGCAGATTTCTCATTCCTCCGCCGCATAAAATCAAAACTTCCGTCGTCTTCACCACCGGATTTACCGTTCTTATTATTCTGGTCACCGTGCCAAAAATTATAACTTGATTCTCTCCAAATCTTTCCTGCGTCGCCATTATTATTGCTTGAATCATTGTCTTCACCGTTAATCTTGACAACGAACTCTCGCCGATTATCAGTCGAATCACCGGCCATGAATGGAGAAGCAAAACAATGTTGAACTTTCTAGTAAAAAAAAGTTTGGATTTTTACTTTCTGCAAGTAAAAGTTTGGGGGCTTTTCTGAGATGAGGAAAAGGTTTGGTTTTTTAAGGAGGAGGATGAAGAAAAGTTGATTCTTGATTTCAACTTGTAATGGGTCGATGTTTAAATTCTTTTTTAGGGTATTTAAAAATGTTGAACCATGTGAAATGTTATGATCTTGCTGGGGCTAAATGACAATGAATCAACCTAGATAAGAAAAAAGTATGTATTTTGTATTACTATTTTTTTTATAAAAAAATATTTGGGTTTGTACAAAACATGGAGTCATGGACCAGCTGATAGTTATCATTTCATTTTATTTATTTCCGCTTCTGGATCATTTTAAAACATTTCACTAATACCAAACTCATTTTCTAATACCAGTACATAGACGTGTCTTGCTCTCGCTAATCAAAGTGTAAGAAAATACACAATCAAAAGTCATAAAGTAAGACAATTTTAAAATTAAATTGGTATACACGCACTGCTCAAGAAAAATGGAGGCCATGTTCAATTTGTTCAGAAACGAAGCAGTTGAAGAAGTAATAAGAAAATTGCTGCTGTACCAGTAATAGTAATTGTCGGATTTTGACGTGGCAAGATCTAAGGGGGCAGAGATTTGATGTGATAATATATAGAAGACGAGTCAGACACGTGGTTGGCTAAGGTCTGGTCTGCTTAATAGTTGTTTATTTTTGCGAGGCGTATACGAATAAAAAAATGAGAACCTAACTCAAAACAAAATAGAAAACGATGCGGAAGTTGATGAAAACGGCACGACGATTAGGATACAAAGTACGGCTAGCTAACGTGAACCGACAAGGTTCAACCAGATTGGTCACAGAAGAATTTGTTTTTATATATCTTATTATTGTCTTATAATAAATATTAAAAATTACATAATTATTACTGGCCAGATAAAATAGAATATAAATGTATTTATTATTTTTTTTATCTTTTGAATTATATTTGAATGATCAGAAGCAAACAGTTTGATACATGTGATTCTGTGAAGAAAGCAAAAGAAAAAAAAAACTGGTTTGATGCATGTGAATTGAAGATTGCGAGATCTTTGTTGGAGAAATGAAAATTCATTGATTTTTTTGGTTCAACAAACTAATATCTTGAAAAGGAAATATATTGATTTGCTGACTGCTGTTCAAAGAAGAGGATATCCAATGGTTTAATTTCGGTCTATGGTAAAACCGAGAAAAAAATTTCGGTCTTGTAATCAGACCTTATATCGAATCTTTATTAGTTCCGCTAGTTTTCTCCTGGGCTTATAAAGGCCCACCTCTATTTAAGTCTTTTTAATCCGGCGAAATTGACGGCGTTAATTGTTGCAGCTCCGATGATCGGGAGCCTAATCCCTAGTTCTGAAATAGTTAAACTAGTTTTCCGGTACAAATTTATTTAAAACCGGACACCGGTTTGGTTATATTTCTACTATTATTCTGGTTTTGGAATCGCTTCCTCTCTTCTGTCTTCGTCTAAGACCCTGAGCTAAACCCTTCGCGTCTCCTTCCAGAGAAGGTCCAGGTGCTTCAATGGCTATCTTGTTGATTACTTTTTAATCAGTGAATCTGCCGAATTTTCCTACCTCGTTGATTTCTCAAGCTTATTTACTGAAGCCATGGCGATTCTGCTCAAATCGGCTCTCCAAAATCAAACCTTTTTTAAGACTCTCCTCAAGCCTTCGATTATTTGCAGAAACCTGAATTCGTCATCGGAGCCTCATAAGAAACCGCTCTCTGTTTTATTCGAAGAGGTCGTAGGATTGAGACCCAAATCAGAAACGATCGAAATCGAAGAAGAAGGCAACGAATTGAAGAGAAAGCTTTTGGAATTGGAGATTAAACTCATAGAACTGAAGAAATCGGAGCCAGTGACGACGAAAAAGAAGAAGCAGAAGGGGAAGGTTGTGACACCAGAGCAGACCGAGAAAAGTCACAAGCTTTACACGTTGTTCAAGGGCGATGAAGAGAAGGATGTAAAGAAGAATTTTCGGGAACAAGAGGACCATGTGATTAGGGTTTATAAGGAGCTTCCTTTAGAGATGTTGTCGTTTGTGAAGCTTCTGCATAAACAAGGGTATTTGAACAAGGCTAATTTCATCAGTGGAGAAAAGTTGGAATCGGGGAGTCTTGATGAAGAGTATGCTAGAACTTTTGTTAAGTTTGCAGCGGAAAAATTCGGAAAGGATCACCAGGAAATAGCAAAGTAAGAACCTTTACTTGTGTATATTTGAATATACAATTGTGTTTTGTTTCTGTTTTGTTCTGTTTGATTGATTGAGAAATTCTGATGTCAGACTGTCTGAGTTTTAGGAATCTCTTGTATGGTCTCGATTGCCTTACCCTGCAGCATTTTATTTGCAGCTAAGGATTTTGAATCTGATTCAATGATCATATTTGCCTCCACGGCTTTTCATGACCTCAGATCCAACTTACAGGTGGTTATCAGGTAGTGACCTGAAGAACATTGTGCTATTTGGTTGCCCGAGTTTGGAAAGAAGGGCAATATTCGCTGCTAAAACACTTCGCAAGTTTTTCGATATCCCAGAGAACAATGTAAAACTGGCTTTACACTATACTGTCCTTGATCTCATTTTCCTTTCTCCAATTACAGCATCTAACCAAGACTCTTTTTGTTTTCTTGCACGATAGGTGTGCGATAAATGCGTGTTGAAAGAGAAGTGCAAGTTTCCAAACCAGAGTGTGTGGGATGGCAAGACAAAGAACTTACATTTGTCTGTTGTGATGAAAGTCATCACACTATATCCATTGGACTTGACACATCCGAAGCTACAAGTTCCTCAAGAAGTACAAGACTCAGTCTCAAGGTTGCTGACAGAGATTCAGAACCTAAGCCGAACGATCTGTACTCCTCTCGCATGAGTTATATCAAAGATTGTTTTCTAGTAGACATCAACTTAGTGTTCTTGCCACACTGAAGCTGTACGAAAACAAGACTCTTAGTGAAAAAGAGTCTCAACTTTTTTTGAAGGGGACAGATCCGAGAACTTGAGTTGTGTTTTGTTCTTTGTCTCGATTATGTGCCGTAGTTGATCTGTTTTAGATTTTTTTTTCCATTGAGAAGAGAAAATATCATAACAGAAAACAACTCTGTAGTGTTTTGATAAGTCCACAAAAGAGACGTTAGTGATATATGCGGAACCCTCTGGCTGAGTCAAAAACTTTCTTTATAAGTATGACCGAAGAGGTCTTCAGAAGGGACAAAGGTTCGCCTGAAAACAAAGCCTATCTATCATCAAAAGTGATTGATTTGTGTGCATCTTTCAAAGCTCTTTTTCTCGCTTTAAATTTCATCTTGTTTAGATTATATGGCATCTCCGTAGATTCGATTTTCGTTAACCTCCACAAGAAAACAGAAATTTCCGATCTTTTTTTTTGTTTTTGTGGGTCTCAGCTTTCGAACCTCTGTTGAACCCTAGTTTTGATTAGTGTGAGGATATTGTAAATTTGTGGCTTTTCTCCTCTTTATATCTCACCCTTCTCTTCACTTTGGGGCTATTCTGCTAAAACCTCATAGGTAGAGTTGCAAAGTTTAATCCTTTGCAGAAGAAAATGTCTGTGGAGAGATCGTTCGAAGCGTGGGAAGAGGTTCAGCGACATGGACAAGACTTAGCTGACCGACTTGCTCAGGGCTTTACGGGTCTGATTCAAATCAATCCACCTTCATTTCCATGGCCGAATCATCAGAAATTGAAGCTCTTCGATCTCGAGTTCCCCAGTCAGCAATTCGGGATTAGGGATTCGAGGTTTTCCACCGTCCAACCCATCAATGGCGTCTCGGCTATTCTCGATTTCGGAAACAAAATCGGTCAAGCTGGTGTTGATTTCGGCGCTGGATTGAACGTGATGGTTGAGCAATTCTTCAGGAGGTTGCCTATGCCATTTCGGCACGAGGAGCACGCGTCTGTTTCTATGGAGAGAGATAAGATTACGAGGAGCCATATGGTTTATGTGGACACAAAAGATGACTCGAGGGTTTCTAAGACAGATACTGTTTCCTCTGTTACTGTGCCAGAGGAGAAAGTTACGGAATTCGATTTAAGGACTGCTGGATTACTTGCGAGACCAAAGGTACTTGTTCTATGATGTTGTATAGAACTGCAGAAATATCTGGATTGGGTTGAAATGTAGAGATTGAGTATGAGCATATGCAAATTTTTGGAACTTAGATGCTTGTTGATTGAGGTCTTGTGAAATGTAGGATTTAGTTGAGCTATGGCTTGTTTAGTCAAATATGAATCTGGGAGAATAGATTTATGTTGTGAACCAGGTTTGGTGGAGTTCGTGCCAAGAGTTGAATTTGCTTACAGATAACAGTTTCTGGTCTATTAAATGTAGGGAACGTTTGAGATATCGTCAAGTTACGAAAGTAGAACAAGTGGTACGGAACATTCATTAGCAGCTAGGGGAGATCTTTGGAGAGTAGAAGCTTCTACTTCAAGTTCAACTGCAAGAGATGATAGTTCGTCTCTCTTTCTTCTCCAGCTTGGACCGCTGCTATTTATGCGCGATTCAACTCTTCTTTTGCCTGTTCATCTATCAAAGCAACACTTGCTTTGGTATGGATATGATAGAAAGGTATGCCTAAAGCTCAAAAATCTTATTTTCATCTGTCTCAATAGATATATAATTGAGTTGCTTAACGTTAGTCTTTGTATCTCAAGTTTTTTTGCTCCATCTTCCAAAACTCATATGTGTGTTCTCTTATCAGAAAGGTATGCATTCACTTTGTCCAGCTATGTGGTCAAAGCATCGAAGATGGCTTATGATGTCAATGCTCTGCCTCAATCCTCTTGCCTGCGTAAGTGTCTTTAATTTTTTAAGATCTTGCTATGTGTGTTTGCCTTTAAATTCTCAAAAAAATGGAACTAATTCCGCACGTGGAACAGTCGTTTCTAGATTTGCAGTTCCCAAATGGTCAATTGACGTATGTATCTGGTGAAGGATTGACGACAAGTGTGTTTGTTCCTTTATGTGGTGGTCTTCTTCAAGCGCAAGGTCAATATCCAGGCGATATGAGGTTTAGTTTCTCTTGCAAGGTTGGTTAATGATTTGCTCAAGTATAGTCACACTTTATATCTTCAAGAGCTTGAAAATCTTGGTTACTTTGATGAAACAGACAAAACAAGGAACAAGAATCACACCAATGGTAAATTGGCCTGACAAATCATTGGGAATAGGTGTTTCTCAAGCCTTGGCTTGGCGTAAGTCCGGTCTCATGATGAAACCTGCAATTCAACTTAGGTAAAAAAAGCTTTTAAAATTTCATTTTTCTTTTGTCCAAATCAAAATATATATATATATAAAAGAAACTCACAAACATGGAAACACAGTGTGAGCTCTACATTTGGAGGAAGCAATCCTGGGATGAAAACTGAAGTTATTCACTCGTTGAACGATAACGTCAACATGATATGTGGCTGCGCGCTAACCGCTTATCCTTCAGCATTTGCATCTGTTTCCGTAAGCCAATTTTGGTTTCTTTTCTCTAACCGGTTCTCGTTTCGGTTTTCTTATCGACTCTCATTTTGGATTTTTTTTGGTTTGTGCAGTTTGGCCGGTCCAAGTGGAATGGGAACATCGGACGAACCGGAATAGTTGTTAGAGCTGATACTCCTCTTGCAAGCGTTGCTCAACCTTCGTTCTCCATCCAGCTCAACAATGCTTTCGAGTTCTGAAAATAGACTCCTTAAAAGACTGTTTTGTCCTCACGTTACTAAAGCTGTATATAGTCAAAATCAAAACTCAGTAATCCAACAAAAGATTTCCACTTTAGCAATGACAAACTGAATCAAGAAAATCTCTAATGGCAAGTGAATTAAGAATTTGTACAATCGACCAGCAAAAAGATTGTAAGAAATGTGAAAACTTAAGTAATCTTCACATCGATATTGGTACAGATCATCTAACAGAAGATAATGAACATTCTTCTTGTTGAAAGCTAACATCTTTGCTTTTGCGTCGTGAGACGTGTTCAACTTTATGTAATGCGATATAAAATGAATTATGTTGTTAATTAGAGTTTGAATAAAAGAATCATAAAGATATACAATTCTTTACTCTATCTTCACCTCGTTAAGATCATCTAAAAGTTTCCTCGACGAAGATGATGATCGTTCTTCTTCGTCTTCTTCTTGTTTAACATCTTTGTCCTGTACAGAGAACGAAGAGTCAACCCAAGGAGCATCCATCGACGATGAGCTTTTGTTTTCTCTATCTCTTTCAAAGGTCGAGACTTGTGACTCGCTGTCTTGTGATATAAGCTCAAAGGCCTTAAACCTCATTGCAGCTGCACCACTTGGATCAGCTTCACGTTTCACCAATGGTGGTTGGACTTTGCTCTTCCCTTCTAACATACTTACAACAGATGACATTGGTGGTCTCAAAGTCGGAGATGGGTTTGTGCAGAGTAAAGCAATGTTCAACATTCTCTTTGCTTCTTTCTTCGAAAAGCTTGTACCGAGATCCATATCCACTAGTTCTAAGAGATTCCCTTGTTCTTGCAAAACATAAGCCCAATCAAGAAGGTAAACAAACTCTTCCTTTGGTCTGTAGTTTGTGTTGCTCTTTCCGCTAACGATCTCTAAACAGACAACACCGAAGCTGTAAACATCTGCCTTGTCTGTTAAGTAACCTCTCATTGCATACTCTGGAGCCATGTAACCTCTGCATCAATTGAAATAGAAAGTCAGTAATGTTAACCTATAACGATGAATTTGAGAGAAAAAGCTTGAGACTCTTTATATAAGTAATGAACATTCACATTGTTCCTGCAATCCTTGTGCTGATATGTGTATTCTCTTCTTCGTCGAGTTTAGCTAGACCAAAATCAGAGATCTTAGCATTCAGAGACTGGTCAAGAAGCACATTCGTTGCTTTTATGTCTCTGTGAACTATCTTCAGCCTTGATTCCTCGTGTAGATAAGCCAATCCTTTTGCAATCCCTATGCATATCTTGTTCCTTGTTGACCAATCCAAATGAAGTCTCTGTTTCTCTGAACCTGTTGATAGAAAAGTCGCAAGAGACTTTAGGATAAAGATCAAGAACTCTGATCTATCTTCTCAGATGGATTATACTAACCAAAGAGTGCACGAGCGAGACTGTTGTTCTCTAAGTACTCATAAACAAGCAAGAGCTCTTTCCCTTCAATGCAACAACCATAAAGTTTCACAAGATTTGGGTGTTGCAACGCAGATATCATCCCGATCTCAGTCACAAACTCTCTGTTTCCTTGCTTTGATTTCGATGAAAGCTGCTTCACTGCAATCGTTGTTCCATCAGCGAGTACACCCTAATAACCAAAAACCCATCAATACTTACAATCCAAATCTCACAGAACTTGTGAAGATGTAAAACCAAAGCAATCATCACCTTATAAACCGGTCCAAATCCTCCTTCACCAATCTTGTTCTCTGGATCAAAGTTATTCGTAGCACGTTTGATTTGTTTCAATGTGAACGATCCTGTCTGCAAATCAAGTCCCCGAAGCTCCTCTGATAAAAACAAAGAATCAGATCTTGAACATGACAAAAGCATTTCTACAACAATATATTGATGTTTTCTTTTTACCATTTTCATCATCTTCCTTTTTACCCAAGTAACCTGTTAGCCTAAGGATTATAACAACAAGCAATGCGAAAACCGCACACGCTGCAACTACAATGCCTGCAACAGCTCCATTCGACAATGGCTTTCCTGTATCAACCTTGAAATCTACAGCAACAGGCAAAAAAAACAGAGAAACAACATTCATTCACTTACCCTAAAATTTGTTGTTGTAACAATTGAGAAAGATTGAAAACTCACTTGGTGTAATGGTTATGGCGGATATGAGAGGACCGTAAACACCGCGTGTTGGTATCATGTTTGTGCCTTTCCCTGACCACTGCAAATGAATCTCCAAAGTACTTCCATTCACTTGAACTTCATCAATTTGCCTTATGAATGGTTTACCTACTCCTCCTGCTCTCTCTGCTATGTTAAAGTCCCTCTCCAACAAATTCCCCTGAAGATAACATCACTCTATTGTTTAACAAAGAAAACAAAAAAACTGAAACTTTGGATTTCTTTGTTCTGCAAAAACTCACTTGAACATAAATGTCGAATACTCTTCTCCCTAAGCTATTGTAAGTCTGATCATTTGAGAACATTATCTCTGCAAAGTGGAGCTGAACTTTGTAAGTTCCTCTTCCACTTCTCATGCAAAGTCCATAGTACTTGAGTGACTGTGGAGCGAGACGACCTGTTTTGTAATACTCTGGAACCGATCCATTGATCAGATTAAACCTATCCGTTGCTATATAGCCAGCTTCTCCATTGCCTACCCAACCTCCAGAACTGCTGTATCCCCATTTTTCAGCTACAGAAAAGAATCTTGATGGTCCTCCATCGTTCAAGTCTTCCACATACGTGTCTTTTTCGATCTCGATTCCCCTTCCTCCACAGTTAATGAACAAGGAAGAATCTGCAAAGAAAAAACAAGAATCAGTAATGTTACATTGAAAGTTTGGTTCTTTAAGGTATATATATATATATATATATATGAGTAAACACACATTGAAAGTTTGAATCTTTAAGATGTAAATGTGAGTATACACATTGAAAGTTTGAATCTTTAAGATGTAAGGTTAGGTATACACTCACGTTCTGCATCTCGGGGACATGGAAGATCATCTCTTAAGCACCATTGAACACTATACAAGCAGAAAATTTGTTTCATTGTAAATATCCTTGCGTTTTGCATGCGGGTTTTATGAAACCTTTAAGGAGGGAAGACTCACTTGTTATCGGTTACTGACGGGTAGCTGGAGACCAAGTTCCTGAAAGTTTTCACCAATAAATCAGATTAGAAAACGTGCATAGAAAGAACGGTAAAGTAGACAATGCTAAGCTGAAGATCATGTTATAATAGAATATATATAGACATACTTCAATAACAGAATTCTCGACATGAAAACAACAAAAATGCTTACAAATCAATCTGATTACAGCTTAAAGAAGGTGGTTGAGTAAAATTGTTGTAAGACAAATCCCTGAAATAGATTAAGGAATGACCAGATAAGCAGATGATATACGGTTATTATACAAAATATAATTAGTTATTTGCTTACAGTCTTTCTCTACTGTCGAGGATGAACTGAGGAACTTGACCTGTCAATGAGTTATTACTCAGAAACCTAAAGCACCAAAACAAGAATCAGTTTTTTTGGAGTCACTGGTTAATCATCATCTGATATTTGACAATTTTGAAAACTTACATAAAATCATAATCCAGGCTCCTAAAGGTGTCTGGAATTGGACCAGTTAACATGTTTGAGCTTAAATCTCTGCACACACATACTTGTAATGTTAGATATTGATCAAATCATTAGTAAACAATAAATTTAGCAAGAGAGTTTTAACTTACAGTAACTTTAGCCCACTCATTGAACTAATGTAATCCGGGATACGTCCCCTTATCTTACAATTTCTTAGTACCCTAATGAAGTTAACAAAGCATGCAAAAACAGATTAATGTTAGATACCGTTTAATGAAACAGAGTATATAACACGAGTCAGAGTTAAACTTACAATCGTTTCATATTCGTCATATTTCGCAAGTCTGGAAAAGTAGAGGCCGGTCCATCCAAATCGGTTATCCTCCTGATAATTAAAAGAGAGATTTTTTCAGCTCAAACATGCGGTAAAAAAAAAGATTTTACATATTTGTTAGACTGTTTGCATACTTACAATTCAGTCAAGTTCTTCAAGTTTGATATTGAAGCTGGAACTGGACCTTCCATTGATGTGCCTTGAAGATCTCTGCAAATTAACAGTTTCTTTCACTATAAATTTCACAACGGTCATGAGAAGAAGTAATCCAAGAGTAATGATGAATACTCACAGCCTATCGAGCAGAGTCCAGTTTCCAATAAAATCCGGTATTTTTCCAGATAGAGAATTTCCATCAATTCGACTACAAGAAACAGTGGAAGCTTTTAGATCATTTCAAAGAATCAATATTGTTGAAATCCTCACTGAATGTGTACTTACAAATCAGTCAAGTTCCTGAGATTGCTTAAAGACTCAGGGATTGGACCGGTGAAGTTGTTCGCAGAGAGAAGCCTGTAATATAAATAGATTAAGCCACTAAGTAAAACAGTAATGTTAATTAGAAAAAAAAAAGTAAATATCATAAAGGATCTTACAATCTTTGTAAACTTCTTAAGTTCCCTAAGTTTGAAGGAAGTGGTCCTGTGAGAAAATTATCCTCTAAATTCCTGCAAATGATTTTCGGATATTAGAATCACACTTCAATTTTGGTTTGAAGAAAACAAGATTTTATTTGTAACATTACAGATCAATGAGTGTAGTAATTGCTCCGAGTTGAGGAGGAATTGGTCCAGAGAGGCGATTTCCGATTACAGACCTGTTTGTTGTAGAAAACAAAAACAGAATCAGTAAATTAACCTTATCATCACAATAAACAAAATAAAAGAGAATGCTAAAAAATGGTTACAAGATTGCAAGCGGAATTCGAGACAAAGTCGTAGGTATTGTTCCATTGAGATAGTTCCGAGAAAGATCTCTGTTAGGCAAAAAAACAAAAACACAAACAAATATTGCGTGAGTTTCAAGTTTCAAAGACCATCAAAAGAAAATCAAGAAACAGCCTATAATGGTTAAACGTACATCTCTTGAAGACGTGTGAGGTTCCCGAATTCAGGCGGAAAAATCCCGGGCAAACTGAAACCTTTAAGTTCACTGTGTTTTATGAAATCAAGAAAGAAAAAGGTTTCCGGGAAAACCCTAAGTCAGTTTCTTGTTTCGCAAGAATATTAATAAAATACATTCAAGATCAGTCTCTTTTTTTGTTTCACTTACACGCTAGTGACATGACAGGTGGCGTTTATAGAACAGTCGCAGATGATGGTACTGTTTGCTAAGCCGGAGGCAAAGTTCCAATTTCTGTCCGAACAAGAAGTCCTTTCGATGTTCACTGTTTGGTTTTGAAGCTTTCTAAAGATCGTTCGCAATGTTTGAACTGTTGAAACAGAAAATGTCAAACATTTGAGTCAAACTTAGATATAAATGAGGATAGCCCAATTAATGAGCAAGAATGGGAGATAATTAACGTCTCTCTCATTGACCCAACTTGCAGATATTAAAATACCAATTATTATCCAAATGTTAGATTATAATTTAAATAAATCAAGAATAAATAAATCGACAAACTATAGGTTATATATAATTGAACAAATAATACAGATGGTTCAGGATCTTTTGATATAGTCCATTCGAACGGTAGTCACTGAGTGCGTACATGGAAATTGAAAAACGTGTTTTTTTTAGCCAAGTTGCACCGAATTTTTTTTTTTTTTTTGTCGATCGTAGACTAGTGACGAGTGACGAGTGACGACGATTCAATTATTGAGGCAGGTCCACGATATTAAATATAAACAATACTTTTTTTTTTGAAAAAGAATAAATCCAATACTTTCCAGCTTCATTCGTCAAATTTGACCATATGACAAAAAACCAGTTACAAGTTTTTATTTCCTTCATCTTTCAGGTTTTGGACAATTTGAAGCGTAATTAAAATATACGCCAAGTTAATAATGGAAATCTTTTGAGTTTTAGGTTCGTATGAAAAATCCGCAACACAGAAACAAATTTGTAACAAAAAGAAACAAATTTGTAAAAGTATAGCCCTTTATATCATAGTTTAAAATTATCTCCGATCGAATAAAGTCGCATGAAATTTGGAGTTAAATAAATTTGTTTGAAATGTAAATTAAAAAAAAGAAAAGTGATATACGCACCTTCATCCTCGGGTAGAAGTTGAGCATTTAATCCGTAGATTTGAAAGAAGATGACGATGAAGAGAAGAGCATTCATAACTTTCTCGGCCGAGAAGATGAAACCCATCTCTCTTTTTTATTTTCTCGGGAAAAACAAACTCTTAGTTCTCAATGAGACGAGGCGATTTTTAACAACAACAAAAAAAAAAATTGACGAGAGGGAGAGAGAAAGGGAGAGAGAGAGAGAGAAGCAGTTGTGAAAAGCTTTTAGTGTTCATACATACATGTCCTACATATATATAGTTATATACATACTAAAATATCTTAAAAGGTCTTTTTAAAACTAGCCGCCAGAAATAATTTTCTTTTGTGTGGGGTTCGTGATCGTGACTGCTATATAATTAATTTCAATTATATCCATTACTATCCTTTTAACTTTACTTATTTATATAAATTGCTATTACATAAATTGCCATTAGTCTCTTTTTTTCACATGGCATTATTGTAGATACTGTTCATCATCGCTGATACTATTCATTTAAAAGAAGATATTTTTTATTATTGGATAATTATTTAGTTAACATAAAATATATGAAAGTTATCGCTATAAATTTGTGTTAACTTTGTTATCATATAATATACTAACATGTTAACAAATATATATGATAATTATCAGTGGTAACAAATATATCAGATAATTATAACGTGATAATTTCAAAATTTTGTAATAAAATATTAACATGTTATCGCTATAAATATGAAAGTTTGTGTTAAATATAAAAGTTATCGCTATAAATTTGTGTTAACTTTGTTATCATATAATATATTAACATGTTAACAAATATATATGATAATTATAAATGGTAACAAATATATCAGATAATTATAACGTGATAATTCCAAAATTTGGTAATAAAATATTAACATATTAACAAATAATATTTGTTAACTATAAAAAATAAACACTAATAATCGAGAAATATAGCACGTTAACAATAATATAACGATAATATTTATATTAATACATAATTTATATAAAATATTAATAATAATATCAGCATAATATGTATATTAACAATAATTTATTTAGAATATTCATTGATAATAATTAAAAAATTATCGTGATAACTGTGATAGCAAAATTTTGAAGAATAAAGGTGATGTAGTCTTTTTATGATATTTATGGGACCTACACTCAAAATGTGTCTCCTAATTTTGCTAACATCTATTACCTTTTATTGCAATATATATAGTAGCATATATTTATCTACATTTTGTTTTCAAACATATGCCAAATTATATGAAAATTTGCGAATATATATTAGGAGAATTGCAAATAGACAAATCATAAATCTCTCGTTTCCGCAAGGATCCACGTTCGGATTCCACTGTTTCTGACGAGCATAATTAATTAATTATTTCAGTCAAATACAACTAGATGGTTTTTTAACAAAACAAGACCGTATCTATCTCTCGTCGAGCGCCTTTACAGTGCGGCGGTATTTCGTTTTTTACGGTTTAGCCATGCGTCTTACCCGTGCGTCTCAGACATCTGAGTTCGATTCTCACTTTTCTCTTTGTGAGAGTTAAGGACTAGTGGACCAGTTTAACGTGGCCCACTTAAAAAAAAAAAAGATAAAATTTATTCTACTTTTTACGTAGAAATATTAAACAACGACTTTGTGCTTTTCTTGACTGCTTTTTAGTTTTACCCTTACTTTTACACCTACCTTTTTAACTTTTTTTTTCTTTCCTTTTGCTGAAAGCTTTTAACATTTTATATGTCTATATCAAGAATCGTCCAAAAGAAATCACTGCGATTTTAGTCAATAAGCAGCCATACTTGCCTAATCTTGATTGTACACTTGAATACGGGTCGTTAGAAGGTATAGAGAATATTTTGTTATACCTGTTATGTTATGGATATAATTCTTTTGGAAGTTCTAGTTACATAGTTATACTCGTAATTTTGTATACTGCAAAAATAAAAAGATGGTTTAATTACATCAAGTACTCAATCAGTTAGTTGTGTCTCTTGTGACTTGTAGTTGTGACCGTCCAATTTCTTCATTTTAGGGGAGGAAGCCTAAATTTGGGTTCTGTTACTGTAAATATATAAGCCTAGACTCAAAAGTCTGAAACTATGCATTTTTCCTCTTTAGAACAAAAACAAAACACTTAGGAAAACCAATAATTGGCATAAGCTCCTATAATGGTCGTCTTAAGCCCAACTATACTTTGTACTTTTGTTTTGGTGACATTGAGACAGATCTCTAAAAATACAGATTTTCTATATTGACTTGACGATTTTACCCTAGTAAGTTGCCGCTAATTACACCAACGGCTCTTTGCAACTGTCACGATGCAAAAACCAACACAACCCATTTGTTTCCTCAGTTTCACTCTGATTTCATATGTTATAGAAAGTTTTAAATTACAAATCTATTTTGTGATATCTGATTCAGTGTCTCAAAATCAAAATCAGATGAGGTATTTGACGTTTTCTAATTGTATAAAGTTTTTTCTTATACGATTTTTGTGGCTAGGTTGTGACACTTTGCAAATCTAAATATATGTTTAATAGTCTGATACTATAAAATGAGAGACTTGTATTTTTTATCTTATAAATATATACTGGATGTGGCTAACTATAAGATGGTATAGAGTTGTTAATTTTTATAATTTGTGATATGCGTCGAAGAATAATTTTCATATATAGAGACTAATCTAGATTTCACATTTTATATACATCTGTATTATTTAACTGAAAATCAAAAATGTAAAGATTCAATCTCTAGGATAGGATTCACAGGAACTTGGAGAAGAAAAGAAAAGGTTTAATCTCATACACAAAACGAACAAGGAAATTTAATTATTTGACACACACTTAAAGAAAATAAAATCAAATGATGAACTACTGTTAGATTTCTTTCTTTCTTCCCTTAGATTTCTTTCTTTTTTGTTTTTGAAAACTTTGTTGATTTGTCATAGATATGCAATTTTTCATAACGATGCAATGATTGAAAAATGTTTATTTAGTAAAATAATTTCTTTTTAATGTTGAATTGTGTTACTTATTCCTTATAAATTTTTGATAGATGTTGATCTAGAAAAAATGAAAGTAATCCAACCGAGATACTTAACATTTAATAATCTGTACATATATTAAAGATATTAGATGTAAAAGTCCATAATAACTTTGTGCTCCAAAAAAAAATAAACAACAATGACCATTTTACAGAAAGGTTACTTTCCTAAATATATTTCTCTCCTAAAAATACTTCGTGCATTCTATACAAGAATAAGCTGATTTAGTTTGTTTCCTCTCTACACTTCTGATTTCTTCGCTGCACGAAATAACAATCTACATCCTGATGTAAAAAAGCCAAAAGATTATAAAAAAATGCTGTTCAATCGGTCTTTTTTCACTTCCTTCTTACTCTTTCTCATCTTCCTCTTTGGTTGTGCATCATCTGCAACTTTACCTACCCGAGAAGGTGAATATATTATGTATACATAATATATTATTTTTTCATTTGTGTCATTTGTATATAATTATATATATGATCTATGTGTGTTAATTATTTGTAGCGGAGGCCTTTAAAGCTGCACTAACCACATTGAAAAAAACGAATATTGATTTGAATGTGGATCCATGCGAAGTCTCATCTACTGGAAGTGAGTGGTCAACCATCAACAGATGGAAAGATGTCGTTACTTGTGACTGCTCCTTCGTTAAAGGAACCATATGCCATATCACCAATATGTGCGCGTTGTTTCCTCTGCTTGATTTTTCCATTTTATGAAAATCTGTTTAGCTTGTTGAGTCAATTTTTGTGAATTTTGAGATAGACATTTGAAGGAAGAAAATCTTCAAGGGTCTCTTCCCAAAGAGTTTGTGGGACTTCCTTTTCTGCAAGATATGTAAGCAAGAACCAAAAAAAAAAAAGTTGGATCAATAGGACTAATTACAGTTTCACCATTTTCAAACTAACTAAACTGTCAATCTTTTTGGTTGTAGTGATCTCTCTAGAAACTATCTCAATGGTTCCATCCCTCCTGAATGGGAAGTCTTGCCACTTGTAAACATGTACATATACACATCTCCATAGCTGTTCATATACATAGTTTTATACATATTGGAGTAACTATATATGTTGATGACATGTATATAGATCGCTTCTTGGAAACCGGTTAACGGGTCCAATCCCTAAAGAGGTTGGAAACATTACAACTCTTACTAACCTGTGAGTTCAGCTAATTTTCAATCTAATTATAAGCTATGTTTTACATAGTTTATGTTTGGCAATAACTTATTCAATTTTTTTTTTTTTTTGGGGCTACGATCCTAGTGTTTTGGAAGCTAATCAACTTTCAGGAGAATTACCTCCGGAGCTCGGGAATCTACCAAACATTCAGCAAATGTAACGATATATTGTTTTCAGTCAGATGTTAGTTTTGTATTATTGAAACTTGAAACCTCAGTATATTTGTTTTCTTATAGAATACTTAGCTCAAACAACTTCATCGGAGAAATTCCAACCACTTTCGCAAAACTAACCACTTTGAGAGATTTGTAAGTAACCTTGTTTGATTAGTAAATATTCTTATGCTCTTTCTTCGCAATATATATGGAGATTCTGATTTTTGTTGTGTTTGTTATTGTTCATTATAGTCGTGTAAGTGATAACCAATTGACAGGAACAATTCCAGATTTTATCCAAAACTGGACTAAACTTGAGAGACTGTAAGATCTCTTTTTGGCTTTTGGATCATTACCTCCTCTAAACATTCTTGATGTTCAAAAAAATAAAAACAAAAAATTCTTGATTTAGTATCTATAATTTTTTTTTTATTTAGTAATCATAATGTTGTGGTTATTTTAGGTTCATTCAAGCAAGTGGTTTAGTCGGACCAATTCCCATGGCCATTGCTCCTCTCGCTGAGTTAAAGGACTTGTATGTAAAACTATGTACTAAGGCTTCATCTTTGTTACATATATGCTTACGTCGTCTTCAATGTGAATTATCTCTATTCTATTTGAAAATTTTAGGAGAATCAGCGATTTGAATGGACCCGAATCTCCATTTCCACCGCTAAAGAACACGACAAAGATGGAAACGTTGTGAGTCCTAGTGTAAAACTACATTTTTGGAACCTTTTTTGGACATAAAGCTAATACTCACTCGATCACTCTGTATTATTTTTTCATTGTAGAATACTTAGGAGCTGCAATCTAACAGGAGATTTGCCCTCGTATCTTGGAAACCTTGCCTCCTTAAAGCTCCTGTTAGTATCTATATATCTACAAGTATAATCAAACTATACACGGATGATCATATAGAATCTATATACTAACTTTGTATTAATCTCTTTACAGAGATCTTAGCTTCAACAAACTGAGTGGAACAATCCCTAGCACTTATTCTAATCTTAGTGACGGATGTTACTTGTATGATGATAACTATCTCTTCTTTCTGTATTTTTGTGAGAATATGGTTTAAATCATTTGTTTCTTACAGATATCTTACAGGAAACATGTTGAACGGGTCAATCCCAATTTGGATGATAAACAAAGGATACAGAATGTGAGTTTCATATATCTTTATAGGGTGCGTTGGAAAAATCTATTTGTTACATCGTAATTAACATGTCTCTTTGGTTACTGGATTTTGTTTTGTAGTGATCTTAGTTATAACAATTTCTCAGTAGATCCAAGTCCAACTAATGCAGTATGCCAGTACAATGATGTGTAAGAAATTAAATCAATATTCATTCACAATTAACCCTATTGTTTTATGTTCATTTTTTATGTATATACAGTCTTTCATAATTTCTATACACTAGAAGAAGGTTAACATATATGTTTTGTTTGCTACAGAGTTTCTTGTATGAGAAGCTATCAATGTCCTAAAAGTAAGTCCATATCTATGCATACAAATCCGTCAATGAGATTTTAGTCTTGCGCGTGTCTGATCATTTATTCATGCTCTCGATATTTCTCGATCGTGCATGGTCTAGCTTTCAATGGTCTTTATATAAACTGTGGTGGAGATGAAGTGACAATCAACGGGACAATGTACGAAGCTGATAAATACGATAGACTTGAGAGTTTATACGAAAGTCAAAATGGATGGTTCTCAAGCAACATAGGAGTCTTCGTAGACGATAAACATGTTCCCGAGAGAGTAACAATCGGGTCTAACACATCCGAGCTCAACGTGGTAGATTCTAGCCTATATACGCAAGCTCGTCTCTCAGCCATATCACTCACTTACTATGCATTGTGTCTTGGAAATGGAAATTACAATGTTACTCTCCATTTCGCTGAGATCTTGTTCAGTGGTAACAATACTTATCAAAGCTTGGGTAGACGCTTCTTCGACATATACATTCAGGTTATAACTAAAAAAACAACTTATTTATCTTAAATTTCTAAAAAGCATGCATGGCTAAAATTTTGAAAGCTTTGGTAAAATAATGTAGAGAAAGCTCGAGGTGAAAGATTTCAATATCGTTGAGGAGGCAAAAGGTGTTGGTAACGTTGTCGTTAAGACATTTCCTGTCGAGATAACAGACGGGAAGTTGGAGATAAGATTGTCTTGGGCCGGAAAAGGAACTACGGTTATTCCCACAGAAGATGTTTATGGTCCTCTCATATCTGCTATATCAGTGGATCCAAGTAAACAAATGCTAAACCAGAAACTATATTTTCCAAATTTTGCATTCAATGTTTCACTTCTAACGAAAATGTAACACTTTTGCGATCAATAGATTTCAAAGCACCACCTAGAAGTGGTATGAGTACTACTCTCCATGTAGTTGCAGTGATGGCGTACGTATTTCTCATACTTCTCATATTTGTTCTGATTGGTATGCTCTTGAAAATAAGTCACTCGAGATCGAGGAATCAAATGGGAAGAGGTACTCATCACAAAAGACTATCTTTAATATTCCTTTAAGTGATTTACTTGTAATGCACGTGTTTCCCAATAATGGTTAGAGCTTTGTTTTTCTCTCAGATTTCAGGAGTTTGGATCCTATGATAAGTTCTTTCTCGTTGAGGCAAATCAAAACCGCTACAAACAATTTTGATTTAGCAAATAGGATTGGAGAAGGCGGATTCGGTCCTGTACACAAGGTACAAACTAAAAGAAAGATCACAACTCAAAAAGATATGTCTAATGGTTGACATCAAAAAGTTTTGTTTGTACTATGATGACTACAGGGAGAGTTGTCTGATGGAACAATAATCGCGGTGAAGCAGCTTTCCACAGGATCAAGACAAGGGAACCGTGAGTTCTTGAATGAGATTGGCATGATCTCAGCTCTTCACCACCCGAATCTTGTCAAACTATATGGATGTTGTGCTGAAGGAGACCAGCTTTTGTTAGTCTATGAGTTTGTGGAAAACAACAGCCTCGCTCGAGCATTGTTTGGTTAGCAACACACACTAGCTAGCTTCCTAAAAGCACTATCGAAAATTTGAATTCAGTTATATTTACTACCCATTTTTGTTGTTGTTTTTTTTTCGTTTCTTTATAAAGGTCCTCAAGAAACTCAGTTGAGATTGGATTGGCCAACAAGGCTAAAGATTTGTATCGGGGTAGCGAGAGGACTAGCATACCTTCACGAGGAATCGAGGCTAAAGATTGTACACAGAGACATTAAAGCAACTAATGTGTTGTTAGACAAAGACTTGAATCCGAAAATATCAGACTTTGGTATCGCCAAGCTTAATGAAGAGGACAGCACTCACATTAGCACTCGAGTTGCTGGAACATTGTAAGTCAAATCAAGAATAAACAAAACATATCGATGAGAAACATTACGTTATGTGAAATTTTCTTATATAACACAACACAACCATTTTTTGCAACATTTTTTGCAGCGGTTACATGGCTCCCGAGTACGCCATGAGAGGGCATTTGACGGATAAAGCTGATGTTTATAGTTTCGGTATTGTAGCTCTAGAGATTGTTCATGGAAGAAGCAATAAGACAGACCTATCCAATAATTATACTTACCTTATTGATTGGGTAATAACATGTTACATCACTAACTTCCATAGCTACATGAAGAAAAATCTCAAAGTAATTCTTGTTCTTGTTTCTGCAAGTAATTCTTGTTCTTGTTTCTGCAGGTGGAGATTTTGAGGGAGCAGAATAATCTGTTGGAACTGGTGGATCCAAGACTAGGATCAGATTACAACAGAGAAGAAGCAATGACCATGATTCAAGTGGTGATAATGTGTACAAGCCAGGATCCGAGTGATAGACCACTGATGTCTGAAGTGGTAAAAATGTTGGAAGGTAAAAAGGTGGTGCAGATGGAGAAGCTTGAAGAAGCTTCAATCCATAGAGAAACAAAGAGACTTGAGAACATAAACACGATGAAGAAGTATTACGAAATGATAGGGAACGAGATAAGTACAAGCATGAGCATGACCCTGACTGATCAAAGTACCTCATCAGAGCACTAATAAACACAGCAATTGTGTAAATAACAGATCATGACTAAAACCCAAAAACCTGTCTTCAGAATTTCAGTAACAATCTGAGTAGATACAAATCAGAAAGAGAAAAGTGGGGACTTTTTTTTTTTTAAGTGTTAAACAGACAATACCAGAGAATCCTAATGTAACTACTTACACACAAGATTTACATTTTTGCTTCTCCCTTTTTTCTCGTCTTTTCAAAATATTCTTGATCTTAATCAACTTTCTTCCACCAAGTTGGTAGGCTCGCTTAGAACATACTTAGGTAGCTCATATTTAGCACCTGCAGGTCAAAAAAACAGTACTAGTTAGGAGTATGTAAACTAATATGAACATGAAGAACTATCACGACACAAGAGCAAAAAAGTTTCAATTTTTGAACCTCTCTCGTCATAGCAAGTTGTGAGATCCGTGTTCTGAACAATGACTCCTGCACTGTCAACGATTGCTTGCGCAAGAGATATGTCAGCTTCAGCAGCAGCACGAAGTGCGTCCCATATCTCTGCCATTACCGAGTTTAAGATACATACAAATGGATATTAAGATCAGATGCAAACCGCCAAAAAGAAAAACACAAAGCAGATAACTTTTCTGACAGAAAATAAATCTGGATCTGTGATTTCAATGAATCCCTCACTGTGGTATAGATTATACACTGAAACAATCTAAATTGGAAGTTCCATGGCATCAAACTTTTCTATGGGGAGAAAATGTTTCAAAAACCAAAACTCTTTAACCTCATAACAAGAAAGGGTCCTTAGCTCAGTGGTAGAGCAATTGACTGCAGATCAATAGGTCACCGGTTCGAATCCGGTAGGGCCCTAATAAAACTCTGTTTTTTTTCCTCCCTCCTACCCTTTTTCTACAAACCCTTAATTTCTCTTGTAAACAATGGTATAAAACGAAAGCACCACTCACAAACCGAAACAAGGCAAGCAAAAGAGATGAGTATCAATTACCTTTCCTACCACCATAGTGAGGAGCAGTGTCCCAAAACTCTTCTCTCAGTTGCATAAGCTGAGCTTTTGTAATCGGTTGGGTGTGTTTCCATGGTTTCGGCTTCCTAATTTTCTTCACTGATCCTGTAACCACCAACAAAATTATCTATACCTGATGCATGAAACAATAAAACAAACAAATTCTCCATTTTATGGATCTCTATGTCTATCATCAACCATGCATTCATAACACTGGTGCTCAATTAGGATAAAAAAAAAAGAAATCAATTCATAGAAACTAGCCTTATCGGTGTAGATTCATCAATTAGTTTCTTTCCATAAGAATAAGCCAATCATAAATGAGGGATAATACATGCACATAGACATGGAAACACACACACAGACATAGCATCTGAACACTAGTTTTATCTGGTCCAACTCAAAATCCTTCATCGAGGTCAAAATTTGACAGAAGACTAAAACACCACGGAAATTAACCCTATCAGATTCGATAGAACCTAAACCCTAATGTCAACAAACAAAGTAACAGTATGGATTACACAACAAGGGTTTCTCTTATCGTCATCTAAAAATAGAAGATCCGCATCTTAATTTTCTCCAACGAAACAGAAAAATTGATATATTTCCCCTTAATTCCAGCAAACAAAACAAGTAAAGCGATAAAACTAAGAGAGATTTCGAGTAAAATAATAGAGAGGTCTCACACCTTCTCCTTGCGACTGTGTCGATCCAGCACAACCCATTTATGTTCTCTGCTGCTTCTTCTTCTTAAAACCCTTCAAGTACAAAAATCTCTCGGAAACAAACAGACCACAATGATTCAGACAAAACCCTGGGTTTGTCGAAGCTTCATCGGAAGTCAATCAAAGTCGCAAACTTTCCTTTCAGAAAGCAAATCGAAGAAAGCAAAATGAGAGATTATTCGAATGTTGAGACCAAAAAATTAGGTGTCGGTAGAAAGAAGAAGAAGATCAAGACCGAGTTGAAGATGACGGTGGATCGGTGTTGATGATTGTGACATTATTGTGATGTTGTTGATAAATAAAGGTCTGATTTTTTTTTTTTTTGTTTTTGCGGGCATAAGGAAAAGTGGTTTTGGCTTCGCTGTCTTCTCAATTAAAGCACAGCTTCAAAAAGGTTCTAAATCCAATGCGAGCCAATGCTATTTCACCAATCAAAATTCGCCATGTCATTATAATTATTCTTTGGATTGAAGAATCTATTCTTGTGTGTGCACTTTAATCTTTGTTAATGATCATCAATTAAAGTAACTTAATCATTAATCAGCTTGAGAAAACAATAGCATAATCTTCATTGGTAACCTTTAGTTAGACGTCGTTAATTATCTAATTTTAAAAAGGGAACGGAATTCCATTAGACAACGATAGAGCCACTACTATGTTTTATTTTTCTATATAAAGGAAATCTAAAATTTACATTTACTAAAATTTACATTTACTTGATTGGTGAAATATGGAAAAGAATTATCGCCAAATTAATCTAAAACTTTGAGTGCTAACTATATACATTAATCTTATGAAAGCGAAATAACTCCAATTCATGTACAGCAACAATCAAATACAAATGATTCACACCAAACCAAAGATTATAAAGAGAGAGCTCAATTAATCCAACGCTCATATTTTCATGGTAGCCGTTGGATAATTAAGTGATGTTTGTATTTGAAGGATTTGTGCTTTGTTAGCCCGTTGCGTTGGATGCTACTTGTTTCATTACGTACGTACATTCAAGCAAATCGCGTTAAAGTGCCGATTCTTATTTAAGCAACTCTTAAGCTTTCTCTTGCTCACAAGCAATTAACAAGATTCTTATTTAAGCTAACTCTTAAGCTTTCTCTTGTTCACAAAAATAAAACCTTTTACTCCAAAAACTGATTAGAAACATAATCAACTTCAACATACAGAAGAAGATTGAACAAGTTTTTGGCCAAGTTGTAGTTTCAATTCTATGCCAAAATCTAAGGACAGACCAAGGTTTTTTTGGAAAGACCCTATAGATTAAACTAAATAAACATGCCAATATTGACGTAACACATAATTAGTACAACAAAATTAAGCTATAATCTTCTCTCCTACCTCGAAGCTTCACTAAAAGCGGATTATTTAAAAGCCTCTCTTCATTTCTTCTGAAGTATAATCATCCCAACATAAGCGATGTTACGAGTGACCACACCAATGAGAATCAATATCATTATACATAGATTCCATTTATTAATGTCGTAACCACTCTTCATAAGCGATCCACATCGAGTAATCATCCATACTCCATAGTACCTGAAACCCAAACCCAAAACCCGATATATACATATAGGAGCTAAAAACAGAGCTTTTCAGGCAGGAAAATGTAATGTTTTTTTATCATACCTTTCAGCATTTCCAATCACAAATGCTTCCAAAGCCCACTTTGGATAACATAAATCAGCAATGATCTTCATAGCTTCACTATTCTTCGGTTGAGTTGCAACAAGTGTTAAAACGACTGGAAGAAGAACAGAGAACTGCAAAAGAGACCCGAGAAGTATGTCTTAAGTTTAAGAGTAGGCAGAGATATCAAAATCTTGTCTTTGCAAGGGAAATGAAAAACTCACCAGTTGGGCAGAGCCTGGTTGGAGGAAGATAGCCAACGCATATGCGATACCAGTCACACAATATACGAGACATACCAAAACGATATAGTTATCGAAAAACGTTGATCTCGGGTTCGTGAAGAAATAGAACATGGAGAGATATACTAACGGCTTGACAAGTGTATTGAAACAGTCTATTGTATCTTTGGCAAGAAAACAAGCCAAGCTACTCATCCCCGAAGCACTTTCTCTCCAGTAATGTAACTTGTCTAGTGAGAATGACCTTAAAGCTGCTATTTTGCACAGAAGAGCTGGCAAAAGAGAAAAAAAAAAAAAGCAAAAAGACCAATAAGAATATGAAGTAAACTTCTCAAAAACATGTACAGAGAGAAAGAAGTTTCCAAACTTACAAACGGCGATAATAGTGTAGGTATAACCAGGAGCTCCAAAGCTCTCATCACTTGCTTTGATCAGTGATCCTAAACAAGCTCCAGCTAGCAATAATATCAAATAGTCTGTAGCTTGTAATTTAGCTTCTCTCATTCGCTGCTTAGCTATCCTGAAATCAAGAACATCCAAGAATCATTTAACCGCAAGAAATTAAGTAATGGAGGATATAAAGAAGTATACCTTCCAAGGAAATATTTGTACTGCAGCCACATAGAAGGGGTTCTTCTGTAGGACAAATCTCTCGACTTCAAGAAGTTATGCCGTATTTTATCACGACGCAGCCTGAGATTACTCTTCACATCTCCCCACAGCTCTCTCACAAACGTTTGCTCTGCATTATCGTTCGAATTGTTCTCAACGTCTGGATTCGTCTCAAGTTCAGCAGCAATGTTGTTGTGAATCATCCACCTTTGTGGAAGCTCTTTATAGCCAACATCAGAATTCGAATTTGAAACCACAATTCCTTCCAATACGTCTATGTAATAGTCAGGAGGGTTGATACGTTCAGGTACATTGATTCCAAGACCCGAGAAGTATTTCTCGACTTGGTTCACCGATCCGTGGTAAACAGTAAGGCCACCTTTGGCTAGAAGAACAAGATCATTGAACGTTCTGAACAAAGTGTAACTGAAAATAAAGAGAAAACATTTATGGATTAAGTAAAAACTTCATGACACTTGAAGAGATTTCCACTAAACATTAACTATGATTTACCTTGGTTGGTGAACAACCATGCAAATATTGACTCCCTCGAGGGCTTCATGACGAAGAGCTTTAAGAAGAAGCTGTGATGAGGCACTATCCAAGCCTGAAGTTGGTTCGTCCAAGAACAATATCGAAGGCTCGATTACCATTTCCAAACCCACATTCACTCGTTTCCTCTGCCCTCCAGAGATTCCACGTTTCTCTACGGTACCAACCAAACAACTTCTCACAGCTTGTAGCCCCAAAGAGTCGATGATTCTCTCAACCACAAGAACTTTGTCAGCTTTTGATTGTCCTGCAGGTAATCTGCATTTAGCATGGAACCAAAGGTTTTCCTCAACTGTCAAGTTTCCATGGACAATGTCATCTTGTGGCACAAAACCAATAATTTTCTTGTATGAATGGATTGATAACTGCTTCCCGTTTATAAGAATCAAACCACTCAATTTGCATCCAACGGCTTTCCCAGCCAAAGCAGAAAGAAGACTTGTCTTTCCTGCTCCTGATGGACCCATCACGGCTGTGATACGCCCTGGTTTCATGCTTCCCGTGACACATCTCAACAGATGCTTACCGTTGGATTTCAATGTAAGATTTAGATCTTTGAAAGAAAGCTCCATGAGAGGCCTCTTCCTCATCTCAGAATAAGTAGCCATGTTAACTATTCCTGAAAAGGTAAGTTCTCTATTCTCTTGCTCCATGGCTCTCTCCTTCTCGATCCGTTCATACGCATACTTGAAGATTTGGCTCTGTGATTTCTTGACCTTATGCCCTTTTACTCTCTTTCCTTCTGTTTCAACACTTGCTCTTTCATTACTTCTTGCGGCTGCAGCATCATCCTCGACATCGTAGCTAGAATGAGCAGCAGAGGAACTCGCAGGACTTGAATTTATGGACAAGCTTACCTCAGAAGAGTTCCCAGGACCCAACATCTTGTGAGTATCCCCATCATTACTAGTTTTTTTACCAGAAAACGTCCGAGTTATTTGCGCACGGATCTCACTCACATGCCTTTTAGCAGCACTTCTAGCAGCTTTCCATCTCTGATGAGCCTTTGCTTTCTTCACAGCTGCTTCCCTTGACTTAGCCTGCCGCCTCTCCCTCGTTGTTAGGATTTGATCAGAACAGTTGTATATAAGGAGTAGTATAGTACTCACAGCAGCCTGCACAAACAAAATTGAAAGCATCTCTCTTCGTAAACAAGCTTAAATCTTGGATATTCACTCATAACTAATAATAACTGAAGAAAAAACTTACAATAACCATAACCCCAAATGCATGCATGTTCTGGTTTGCTGTGTTGGGATTGCAAGAAGTTAGCTTAAAACAGGCTGCAAGACAAGAAGTTAATAGATTAGCAGATGGAAATGGTTATGTGCACAACAAAAACAATCAGACTCACGTTTCTCAGATGTAGACCCCATTCGGCAATAGTGCCTGAATCAACATAAAAGTATAACCAGTTAAACCAAAAACAAACGTAACAAAAGTTTCAGGATAATTTATCAACAGAGCTTTAAAGGGACAAGAAAATGAATACCCACTATCACAAGGTACTTTCTGAGTGGAGGTTGGACAATATGATCCTGCGGAACAGAATACTTCGCTGCTGCTTCTGATATCAGCCCATACATTTGCACCTCCACAAGTGTGGTTTGGTCTTCCTGGTGGCAACTGATAAGTATACCTATAGATTTGACATTTCAACACCTTATCCAGAAATAATATCACATGTGTCATACTAGAATCTATATTCAAGATGAGATAAATGAATAAAACTTACGGCTCACATAAGCTTGTTTTCTTGTTAAGGGTAGCTAAAGGGCAATGGGCACCAAGAGGGCAAGCTTTTTTCAAAACAGAACACAAACTTAGAAATAGCATTAGACCATATAATGTATATGAAAGAGGCTTTAAAGGGTTACTTACGTATCATACAAGTGAGGCCACGGGGGCAGAAAAACCCTTCGCAGCAAGGCATACAGTTTCTTGTTCTAACAGGAAACTCTTTGGAGTTTTGCAGGTCGACTTGTTCGGTTTGGTCGACAACACTGCAGGCCCATCCAGGTTCACAACCAGAGACCCACGAAGTCAAGTTGCAATTCTCATTTGGTTGCAAGTAGCCCGGGTTACTCGATTTATTGAAGAAGTCATTAAAATAAAACTTCATCTCTGCTGCAGTGCAGATACGCCTACCCATATCACCTGTTCCAAACCCGGAAAAAAAAAATTCGAGCTTTAGAGAAACACACAAAGGTATGAACTTTATGTCAGCAGATAAACTCCAAGAACAATGATAATCAAACAAAATAAAGATATGGAAGTCCAATTCGTAAGCTGTTTGATTCCTACTGAGTAAAAAGCCTGTACCTTTGGTTTTCTGAATGCAAGAAGACAAGAAATTCAAGTTGGTGGAGAAATTAAAAGCTCTATTCCAATCAGCATCCCTGAGATTATGATTTCAAAAGAAGGAACAATCTGAGCAAACATATCTCAAGACTATAAACTAAGACAAACACATTTCACCTAAAGCACCAGAAGTTAAGCAAATGAAGATATCAACTCAGAAACAATATAGTAAGCTCAGAAATGAAACATTTGATGTTCCAGAATTAGAAACCAAGAAAAGGAAAGAAAGTGCAAGAACATAGTTTTAAGGAGTAAGAAAACTAACGGGTCTTTGACGCAGAACTTTGCTCTTGTACCGAACTCCCGGTTAAGAGCAGCAGTGCTATTAGAGAGCCTACGATAAACCATCTGCGTAACGAGCGGAAGAACAGCCGGATCCTCGAACTCATTGGTGTCCTCAAATTGACCATAACCAACATCACAAACCAAGCAAAGTACTAAGACCACCAATCTGAGATTAGATCCATGTTTGAGCCAATTTCGCCGGTTCACACTCATCTTGAGATTCAATGGCCTTAAAAGAGAAGGTAGCTAAACTCAGATGCCAAGCAGCCAGCTAAAACAAAACAAATTAAAAACGTAGCTTGGTTTCTCAAAAAGAGATGGTTTTTTCGAATCTTAACAACGGAATTTTCAAGACATTGTGATTGGAAGAGAGAAGAAACGTGAAAGAAGGTTGGAGAAACGATTGTGAACAAATACTAAAATGGTGATCTGATTTTTTTTTTTTTTTTTTGTGCGATGAACGTGACGAACAATGTGTGAAACGGCTCATTTTAACTAACTTCATATAATTTTTAATCAAATTTCAAAGCTTGATTTGGGTTTTAGTTAGAAAGGAAACAAATAGACATAACACAGATTTTGTTCAAGGAGAGAACGAGAAAATTTAAGAACTTTAAAGCAATCAAACTTCAAAAATTTGAAAACCCAGAAACTCAAAATGCATTTTTTTCATTTTTTATTTTCAATTACAGAACTTAAAGCAACATAATTTCAATAGAGTATGAAAACAAGGATCAGCCGGGGGAAAAAAAAAGAATTGTATCGTACCTGTGACTGTGAGGCATTAAAGTTTAGAACTAGGAGCTGAGGAATCCATGAAAATTGAAGTTGCTTAGTTACTGGAGATGCTTCTTTTGAAGTAATCTTCAAATCTTGAGATTTTGCAAGTCAATCTGGCATCATTGACCTCTCGACAAGAAGAAGGAAGAAGGAGATAGTGCGTTGAATGATTCATTAGGACAAAGGACATATGGACCTAGTTATACTACAGTTAACAAATTAAGAAATTTTTTTTAATCTTTATGGTTGATTAAGGAATATATACATTTTCTTTCTAAGTTTAGTCAAAGCTTTCTCCAAGTATAATGATATGAAATAATTGTAGTGTGTTAGTTTTTGGTAGCTTAGTAGATATACCCTATAAAGATTGTTTACTGTTGCATTTAAATTAATTAATATTAGGATTAAGAACAAAAGTTCGGGTTTATTTTAGTGTCAAAAATCTGTTCCTCTTTCCGATTTCAAATACTATTATCGAAAAGGTACAGTATATGCAGATTGTATATTAGTCATTTTTAAAACTGTAGTTGCCTTTTTTTGTACGTAAACTGTAATTGACTTCTTTTCTCTTGTCACAATTTTCATTAGTCAATTTTATTTTTCTGCAATCATTTTCCTTAGTCAATTTTATTTTTTCTGCAATATTTTTCTTAGTCAATTACGATACAATTTTAGGAGTTAGGACAGATTGCGAAACTCGTTCATACTGGTATAACTTGCAATCAACTGGTCCCATGATATTTAGTATTTGGCGTCTAAAATGAGAAGACAGAAAAGAGACCCCAAATGTAAAATAAAAAACAGTAAATCAAGAGTTATTTTTAGACTGGAAAATTTAATATGAATCAGACAAAGAACTTTGACAAAGGAAAAATATACATTTACTACTGTAATTTTAAAGAAAATTTTATTTTTCTTTGGCTATTGGATTATATTGATATCCGAAACCTAAATAAAGTTACACAAAAGCCGATAGATAATAAAAAAAAAAACTTTCTAGAGCCGAAAATTCAAAGAAAAGGAAACATGGTCCAAACAAGGAAGACTTGGCATGACAAGAGGGAAACTTACAAAAAGATCGACTTAAAATTCAAAGAACTACGACATTATACAAACAATGCCAACATAATTTTCAAAGAATCTTATATAACTCAAGTTTGACAAATTTTGAGTACGTTCGACCCATAATTGAGCCCATTTCGTAACGCTTTAGCTGAATTCCAATTCATAAGCCCAGCTCAACCAAATTCAAAACAATAGCATAAGGCTACAAATATTCTAATTCGATAGTATTTACTACAATGACCAAAAACACCCTTCGCGCATCTCGAGATCTCGCGGTAAACGAAGTTACAACGGTCAGTGTAAATACCCTATGCTTTTAAGGGTACTTTCGGAAACACAAATTGAAACTCCCAATGCTTGCTCTGCTTTAGTTTACTTTGCTCTGTCTTGTGCCCTTTTTGGTCATTTCAATATTCTCTTCTTCTAAAACTCAATCAATCGTCTCTTCCTCTCTCTCTCTGACCGTTTCTCCTCCAGCTCTCAATTTTTTCTCTCATCAGCCTCTTACTCTCTCTCCTCTTTCGTTTATTGCCTTTGACGAATCTGTTTATTGCTTGTAATTTTTTCAAGTAGGCTAAAAAGAACAGAGAGATCTAATTTGGTAAGTGTTTATTTTTATTCCTCTCAATCAAGAGTTTTGTTTGTTAACTTTCATGTGGGTTTCTGGTGAATGATTCGATTCCATTATTGTGTTAATTTTTATTTTTCTACTTTTAAAATTATTATTGCAATGGAAGGTTCATGTCGCTGGCCGTGGGCCTAATCCCCATTGTTGTTAGCTAACAACAATAATGTCGAAATTTTTCGCATTAATTGTTTTTGTTCAGTTTTATATATATAGCCGATTCTCAAAAAAGGGTTTTAGAGCTTTTACTTCCTTTTACAGCCAAAAACAAGTTTTTAGATTTTTGTTCATCTTGTTTCTTAAGTTTTTTCTTGTCTCATCTCGGTTCTATGTTTGTTTTTCTCATTCTTGGGTTGATTTTTGATTTCTGTTTGGATTGATTTACTCTGCTGCAGGGTTTAAGCAGAGGTTTTCTTTCTTCAGATTTACTTTACAATGAAGTGAGAACTTCAAAAATAAACAAAGAGAAAGCAGAAAAAAAGCTTGGAACTTTCGCAAGGTACAACCTTTGACTTTGTTAGTTTGTTTGTATGAAGAAACTTGCTTCTGAAATTATCAAACTTTGATTTAAAAATCTGAATCTCAGTGTTTTACTGGTTATGTTTAAATTTGTAGGTCTCATAAATACTCTTTAACATTCAACTTCTTTTTAAAAGTTTCGTAGGTTTTATCAAATCAAAGAGCTCGGAATTTGTGTGGATGAAAATGCCTTAAGGGTCTGTTTGGTTACCTACAGAGCGTCTAGACCGCTGCTGGTAGTGCGTTTAGAATCACAATGAGACATAGGTTGTGGGTCTTGTGTCTGCTTGTACTAAATGTGTTTGGTGGGTTTGTCAGGCTTTGAGGTTGTCCTGTTGTTTCAAATGGTTAGAAATCAAAATTTTACCCATACATTTGGTTTTAAGGTTTGTACTCTTTTCACAATAGGGTTTGAAGGCACTATAGTATATAATGATTGTACTGGTTTCTTATTAGGTTTTTGTTACATGGTAATTCAGATTTGTTCTGGTTTTTAAAATGTTTCTGCTGAATTATTCTGCATAAGTCATGTTGCTTTTGCAGAGATTATTAGGGTGCAATCTTTTATTTATTATCTTGGTTTCATTTCCGAGACTTTTTTTGGTTCTGTATGTAGCAGCACATTTTGACTAAATAGCCCCACAAATTTAATAATGAGAAGGGAAAAAAAAATTAGATTGGTTTCATTATTAAAAAGAAATGGTATACACACAACTTGCTTGTTTCTTTATTCCTTCAATTAGACCAGGTCCATCAGAAACCTCTTTCTCAGAGGTTCATCCGAATATAATAATACCTTTGGTTTTGTTTTTCTATTTTTTTAAATGCGAAAATTATTTTTTTGGACTAATCAGGATGCTCCACGTGTGATGAACCTGGGTTCTTCAGGTTCGTCGGGAAGAGTTTGGTCCATGAACCTCTATCCTTTTTCTTATTTTTTTACTCCTTCTGTTCAGAATTATTTGATGTTTTAGAAGGTTTTTTTGTTCAGAATTATTTGATGTTTTCACTTTTCAATGTAAAATTTAATAAATTTTTATAGTTTTTGACCTTTTATATTCTGCAGATTGTCTTTCTATTGGTTGAATGATATTTAAATGAATTATAAATAATATTTTTAGTATAGGAAAAATAAAAATTAAATAAATCCTTAAACTGTGTGCAAAAACCTTAAACATCAAATAATTCTAAACAGAGGAATATTATATTTCGTCTAAAAACCTGTGCCATGAACCTTTGAAGAGCTCCTGATGGACTTGCTCTTAGAAAATAACATTTTCTAAGCATTTTCTAAGCATTTTCTAAGCATGAACCATGAAGTCTTCACGACTCTTGATGAATATTTTTTAAAAAAGTATTTCTTGTATATATGCATCTAATTAAATATTATGTCTAGATCTCCCTTTATTGAAACATTCTTTTTACATTGAGCTTTATCGGATAGTTTTTCACATAAAGCAAGTCCTATTTGAAGAATTTTACACAGAGAATCTTGTGGCCCTCCATTAACGGTCCTTGATCCAAGTATTAAAGCTTGCAACTCTTTTTCTTTTATGTATCGAAACTTTCATAATTACAAGTCTCATTCTTCTTTCCTTTGCTTTTTGATTTCTTTTGCGGTGTTTTTTATTGTCTGATCTCGTTCTGTGTTCTTGGTACTGTTGTCTCATGATCTGCAGATGGAGACTGTGAAACCAATGGGTGTTGCTCCCAAGGGTAAAATCAGACGCACGTTTGCTAAAGTTCTTAACATTCATAAGCTAACGGGTGTTGCTCCAGAAAAGGAAATGAAGAAGATAAAGTTCGATTCCAAGAATGCGAATTTGTCCGAGTCTTTCTACAAGCTTGAGGAAGAGTATGAAAGAAGTCTGGCATTGGAGGCTCTTCTTGCGAAGCTGTTTGCTTCGGTTTCTTCCATCAAAGCAGGTTATGCGCAGCTACAGCATTGTCAGTCTCCATATGACGCAATTGGTATTCAAAAATCAGACAACTTGGTGGTAGCAGAGCTCAAGTCTTTGTCTGAGCTGAAACAATGTTTCTTGAAGAAACAGGCGGATCCGAATCCCGAGAGAACTCTGGTTCTCGCAGAGATTCAAGAGCTGAGGAGTCTATTGAAAACATATGAGATAATGGGGAAGAAGCTTGAGTCTCAGTATAAGCTCAAAGACTCAGAGATTCTGTTTCTGAGAGAGAAGCTTGAAGAATCGATGAAGCAGAACAAGTTGATAGAGAAGAGACTTAATCAAAGCGGACAACTTTGCAATCCTTTAGACAATCTTCACCTATCAGCGCTAAATCCAACACATTTCGTTACTTATCTGAACCACACTGTCAAATCCATCAGAGGATTCGTCAAGCTAATGATCGAGCAAATGAAAGTCGCGGGATGGGATATTTCAATGGCAGCTGATTCGATCCATCCAGGTGTGTTCTACTACAAGCAAGACCACAAGTGTTTCACTTTCGAACACTTTGTCTCCAATGTAATGTTCGAGGCGTTTCATCTACCATACTTCTCAACTTCCACCTCAACAGAATCAAGAAGCTACAAGAAGAAGAAGAAACAGAGCATAGCAGAGAGGGAAATGTTGTTTGAGAGGTTTATAGAACTCAGGTCGATGAAATCCAAGGACTACTTAAAGGCACGGCCTAAATCGAGGTTCGCTAGGTTTTGCAGGATCAAGTACTTGCAGCTTATACATCCAAAGATGGAGCAAGCTTTCTTTGGCCATTTGCATTTGAGAAATCAAATTTCTGCTGGTGAATTCCCGGAGACGAGTTTATGCTCTGGATTTCTTGAAATGGCGAAAAGGATATGGCTTCTGCATTGTTTGGCTTTCTCGTTTGAAACTGAAGCTGAGATCTTTCGAGTACCTAAAGGTTGCAGATTCTCTGAAGTGTATATGAACAGCGTAGCTGAAGAAGCGTTTTTCCCGGCGGCGGATGGTTCGCCGGAATCTGAGCCGCGTGTCGCATTCACGGTGGTTCCAGGGTTTAGGATTGGAAAAACTTCAATACAATGTGAGGTCTATCTCTCGCTCTCGCCGGCCGTTCAAAGAATATAAAACGGACGGTAAGAATTTCTCGGGCGGTGGTGGGTCCTGAGGGGTGATTTGGTATTTCATGGGGTATTCTTTGGAAACCGGAGAAAATTTGTGGGCCGTTGGATCTGTAGTAGCAATGTAGTGTGGTCTTGTGTCAATGTTTTCTCTGTCTTTTCAGTTTTGTCGATATTAGTGCAGAGGAAAACAGAGGCATCTTTTAGCTGTTGTCCATTGAATATTTATCTCCTTTTCCTAATATAATATGTAAATAAATAGTTTAAGATTTCCTGATTTGTATTATCTTTATCTTTTTAGCCTACTTGGAAAAAATAAAAAATAAAGAAGCGTAATGTTTGGAATGCTGAATTAGTGATGTCATTTCTAGGTGTCTAAAGACTGAAATGCAATCAAATTTCAAATGTTAGTACTCTCTCTGTTTTATGCAATAAAATTTCAAATGTTAGTACTCTCTCTGTTGTTTTATAAATAGTGTTATTTTGACATTTTTTACAAGAAAATTATTAAAAGTACAATTTTGTCTCTTATTAATACATTAAATAATTTATTTTTATTTAATAAATGTATTTAATTAATAGGGTTAAAATTGAAATATTAATAAATACATTTAATTAATAGGGTTAAAACTGAAATATTGTATAAAATTTTACATTGAAAATATAAAACGATACTCTTTGTGAAACAAAATAAAACCTTAAAACGACACTCTTTATGAAACGAAGGGAGTAATTTTTTTTTATTTAAAAATAATAACATGTATAATAAGCATCGGGTTCATTCTAAATGTATTGTTGGTCTATGAAACATCCAGCATTATGTCTCTCTGTCTTGTGTTGTCACATGCACATTAAAATTGGTCCACCACTTCAAAATAAGTGTGAAAACACTTTTGGGTTTTCTTGATCGGTTTTAGGTTTAAAATTACTTAAGGTATTCCTTCTAATTCATAATAGGAGAAATTAATCATATAAACACGAAGAAAAACGTCGACGTGTTTTTAAAAAGAACTGTTTTGGTTTTCTTGTTCATTTTTAGGTTTAAACTTTAAATATTGATAAGACATTTTCAAATTTTTTACTTATTATTATCGAACAAGTTATTTCTTCAAACACCTCAATATTCTGTGGGATACAACAAAGACGGTAATAAAAAAAAGATCATCAAAAGAATATATATTAGAGGATAGAAAAATGCCAAAAAACTTGTATTGAAGTTTGGTTGATCCATCTTTTTCGTTAATAAATTTAAAGAAAAAAAAAACTTAAAGTGAAAATGAAGGAGAGTAAGGTGGTTTGAAAAAGTGTGAAAAATGAGAGATATATATAGACTATGCAAAATAAATCTAATGGTTATTAGATATGAATCCAGTGGTTAGATATGAATCAAGTAGTTAGATATGAATCTAATGGTTATTATATATGTGAATGTGATTATATACGAATACAATAAATTTTACCAACATTTGATAAAATTAGCTGCATAAAGACTGAATCTAATTAAGATATTCAATTTGGTTGAAGTACATAGTAGCAGTCATCACTCTAGCTAACGAACACACATCTCTAGTGACTTCAGCTGAAACCCCTGGATTACCTGCGAATTCATATACACTATGACCCGAGTAAAGCCAATGTGAGAGGGAATAGGAGAGGTAGGAAATAAGTATTTATAGAAAGTACCATCACGATCACCATCCATCCAAGAAGAGAATTGAATCAATGGATTCATTCTAAATGTATTGTTGGTCTATGAACCATCCAGCATTATGTCTCCTTGTCTTGCACTGTCAAATGCACATTTAAAATGCATAAATAGTCAATACAAGTGTGAAAAGGTCATTATATATGATCTGTCAAGATTTTTGGGTTAAAAATTATCAAGGTAGTTCTACTAATAATTTTTAGAGGAACTAATCATATGAACACGAAGAAAACATTGTGTTCAGTTGTTTAAGTATTGATAAGGCGTTTCCACTAAATAGTTATCGGAGAAACTAAATTGTACACACATCGACACACGTTAATACATAAGTTTATGGATCACACCACAAAGGCGGTGCTATCAAAAAGATTTTCGAAATCATAATTATTTTATTTTAATTTTTTGGTCAACCGAATTATCTATGTTATAAATTTATATATGTATTGGTATTTGGTGTGCATTTAATATATAGCCTCTTTCAAATTAGTCTATACCAAAATTAATGAGAGCGATGCTTCCCTGTGCCAAGAATCTAGAGATCAATTGACCAAATATTATGGTGGGGGTTCAAATCAAACAAAAGGACTGCATAAATCTATAAAAATTGATTTCATTTTCTTTGTCGGAAAGTCCTTTTTACTGTAAACGGTGGTGCTTTTACAACTGGCGTGGTCTTCTTTATTTTAAGCAAGAGAACCCTCCAAATAATTATTTTTGCAAGATTATCCTTAAATTTATAAATAAACGACAAAAAATATCCTTAATTTGTAAAAAAATACAGGTAAGATTCAGTAAATTTTAACCCACAATATAACATGTTGTTATCATAATCAAATTTATTTTAATATGATAAATTATATATCAAATCAAAACTTTTGCAACGAGAAGAGTCCAAATATATATTCTTATATAGAACTAGGTGTTTAGTCTGCGCCTTGCGCGGACCGAAGAGTTTCATTGAAACGTAAAATATTATTTTACGTCAGAAATCGAAAAGAATTAAATCAACAATTTGATACATACAAAATTAAAATAAAGCTAATCTATGATAATTATTGTTTAACATTAAATACCTTAAAATTAATATTAATAAGTGTATAAAATTAAGAAACACAAACTAAAATTAAAATTAATATGAATTATTTATCTTTTTCTCTTTTTATCTTTTATTTTTTTTCTATCATTTTCTTCTTTCTTTCTTTTTTTCTGTTTTCTTTTTTGTTTTTTTCCTATTTTTTTCTTCTTTATTTTTTATGTATTTTCTTACTTCTTTTTTTCTAGTTTTTCTTTTTCACGTTTTCTTCTTCTTCTCTACATCTGTTTCTTCTTCCTCTCATACATCTTTTGATTTTCTTCTATTCCAGATTTTATTCTCTTTCTTCTTCTTCTTCAATGTTTAATTATTCTCTTTCTTTTTTTTTCCCTTTTTCATTGCCATCGTCTTCTTTGTTGTCACCGACTCCCTATTCTTCTGTTGTTTTTCGGCTTTTACTTCATATTACCCCTGTGGCGCTC